ATTAATTTGAAGACCTAACTGAAATTACTCCACAATTTGAACTTATTTCAATAAGTATTAAAACAGTTCATCGGCAAAGACGACAAAAGCAGTTTAGTTATTAAAATTAACATTTCAAAACATTTTACGAAGCGATTCAGTTCTTTTACATTAAATCAAAGCCTACTAAAATAACATACCTACAGTACATAATTCGGAAATTCACTGTTATATAGTTAAAAGCAATAATCTTTCAACTATTTTTGGCGTGTTGTTCAAAAAAATATAAAATTTAAGATTGTCGAGTTGCCATGACAACACTGAAGTAAACGCGAGCTTGCGTTCAGTGTTGATCAATTACTAACACAGTACTTCATGTACGTCAATGTTTGGAAAATATAGGCCAGGGGTTGCTGCATGCATGTATTTCTAGTAAGCTCACTATTATGTTTTTACAACTGCACAAATGGATTTCATAGAGCTGAACAATATAGAATTTAAGCAAGGCTTAATCACAAGTACGAGAGCGCGACAAGAATTGACAGCCTTTATAACAACAAAACTGTGAACTACCGTTATTAGAAACCTTATTAAGCAAGTGGGACGTAAACGCCATTAATGATATTGTAGGAAATAACTAGAGAGAGGCGGACCTGTGACGCAGTAAGCCAGAATTAACATCAAACTAACGTGGTATTCCAGCCCTATCGATAAATCTAAGCAGTTGATCAACATAAATTTAACTGTATTTGATTAACTACATTCACAATTATAAATAATGTACTGTACGTACTTGTGTTATTTCATCAACGATTGTTCCTTCACTATAGTATACGTTTTGATCCCTACAGAAGATAAAGCAAACCAATTAACCATGCAAACTTAAAATTCAGACTTATATTCAAACATTTCTGCTAAATAAATAAACCGTATATATATATATATATATATATATATATATATATATATATATATATATATATATATATATATATATATATATATATATATATATATATATATATATATATATACTTATATATATATATATATATATATATATATATATATATATATATATATATATATATATATATAGACATCAAAGGTAACTATTTATAGTGGTTACTTTCATCCTGCTCATCAGCACTACACTGATGAGGCCCAAAAGGCCGAAACGGTACCGTCTGTAGTTAGTTATATATATATATATATATATATATATATATATATATATATATATATATATATATATATATATATATATATATATATATATATATATATATATATATATATATATATATATATATATATATATATATATATATATATATATATATATATATATATATATATATATATATACAGACAACGAAACATTACATGGTACAACCCACCTTATAGCAAGAACGTTAAGACCAATGTAGCACAGACATTCCTAAACCTAATTGACAAGCATTTTCCTCCCTCAAACAAACTGCACAAACTTTTCAACCGCCACACAGTCCGTATTAGTTACAGTTGCATGACAAACATGAAAAATCTCATCCGTAAACATAATCGTAAAATATTCAACCGAAACACAAAACGAACGCCAACTGCTAGGCCAGCTAGGGTAATACAATCATCCATACCAACGGTAATACCAACACCTACAAAAAACGGCGCGCCAATGTGCAACTGCCAAGAACCCGCCAACTGTCCACTTGGTAAAAAATGTCTTACTGAGAGCATCGTATACAAAGCCGAAGTGACAACCAGCACTGCCAACAACCAGGAAAAAAAAATATACATTGGCATGACGGCGGGCGATTTCAAAACAAGATACCGCAATCACACTAAGTCTTTCCGACATGAGGAATACAAGAGCAACACCGAACTGTCCAAGTACGTCTGGAAACTGAAGTCAGAAAAAAGTCAGTATACAATAAAGTGGTCCATTATGAAGAAAGTCAAAGCATACAAACCAGGATCTAAACGGTGAAATTTATGCCTCGAGGAGAAACTACTTATTATGAAAGCGAAGAAAACTGAGTGCCTGAACAAACGCTCTGACTTGTTTTCCAAATGTAGACATGTAACCAGATACATGCTTATTCAAGTTGTAAAATGATAACCTATATTTATTGTGAATATTGAATAATATCTGTCAGTTGCCTGATGATCGCGTAAAGCGTAAAACTCAGAGTAGCGACGCAAACATTCAAACCTTGACTGAATTAATTCCGCTCTACTTATTATGGTATTGAGCGCTCTTCTACCTTACGTCAACTCATCGTCTATTTTTTTTGAAAATAGTCTTCAGTATATATATATATATATATATATATATATATATATATATATATATATATATATATATATATATATATATATATATATATATATATATATACAACCAACAATGAGATGATGGATGTGGGACACATAAATTATATATACGACAAGAACACCATTCAACCTAATACGCATGATCTCTGCATGTCACAGATTTAAATCAGCGCAAAGGCCTATAGGCAATTGTGCCCTAAGCTCACAACCAGCAACTGCGGACAGCTGTTTCGCCCTTTTGGGGCTCGTCAGCGCAGTGTAGCTATAGTGAGATTTCCATCCGAAAAGTATTTATACAACCAACAATGAGATGATGTATATTATATATATATATATATATATATATATATACATATATATATATATATATATATATATATATATATATATATATATATATATATATATATATATATATATATATATATATATATATATATATATATATATATATATATATATATATATATATATATATATATATATAACTACATAAATGACGGTACCGTTTCGGCCTTATGGGCCTCATCAGTGTAGTGCTGATGAGCAGGATGAAAGTAACTGCTATTTACAGTTACCTTTGATGCCTCACGATTGTGGGACATCAAAACCATGCCAGAGCGCTCAAACTGCTAGCAGTGAGCGTGCGCAATGCGTAAGCGGCATGGCTCATCCTGTAGAGCGCTCAATATGACCCAAAGGCCATAGAGCGATATCTAACTACAGACGGTACCGTTTCGGCCTTATGGGCCTCATCAGTGTAGTGCTGATGAGCAGGATGAAAGTAACTGCTGTTTACAGTTACCTTTGATGCCTCACGATTGTGGGACATCAAAACCATGCCAGAGCGCTCAAACTGCTAGCAGTGAGCGTGCGCAATGCGTAAGCGGCATGGCTCATCCGTAAGCGGCATGGCTCATCCATATATATATATTTATATATATATATATATATATATATATATATATATATATATATATTTACATTAAATTATAAAAAAAAAAAATTATGTTACAAGCGAAGAGTGCGTAGTGGCCAAAGGAGCAAACGCTTTCGAGTTCACAAATTCTCTTTCACGTTTTTATATTTTTGGGAAATTTCCCTGCGGCAGTCCTCCAGTTTTGTGGGACTGATTGAATAATTTGATAAAATGTTTATTGAATAACAGCTATAGTGGGAGGCTTATATACGTATGTATAGTTTGATACAGATATAGACAAAAACAAAAATATTGGTTGTTACTGTTAGCATGATGAAGAGACGAGATAGAAGAGACGAGATATGCATGGTCAGGATACACAACATGAGTTTGTACCATCAATTCCTCATCAAAGAGTACGGATGTTAAATCCCTAGCAAACAGGATAAACGACATATTCGTTGGTCTAACGGATGATTTTCAACCACTGGCGTCTATATATATATGGTGGCTCGTTCCAGGTGATCTACTATAGTAACACAGCATGAAGTTTATCATTCGCTTATCCTCAATAAATATCGTAAAGGCACTATTGCATGGATGGCTCAAATGATCATCCTTGTTGGGTATCGCCCGTATTTCTCAATTTAGAAATCCTGGCTGTTATATACCCATTGAGATAATGTGACACGGGTGCAGAGATAAAGCCGAAGAAGTTCTTGTGTGTCAAAATTTCAGGTTCTACAGATCTAAAAAGGCAAAATATTTTTTACCTTTAATTAATTAAATGTACTATTAATATATTTTTACCTTTAAATATATACTATTAACATCTTTCTCTCTTAAATATAACTAACATTTACCACACATGATTATTGTAAATAATTAAGAAATAGAAAACACGCGTGGAAGTTTGGGAGAAACGAGAAATTGCGTGGAAACCGGCCGAGCACGAACACCGGGACGAAGTCAAATTATTCACCTTGAGTCAAGGTTATTCCCCTTTTTACGCAAGTTATTTTAATTTCGCTTATTTAGTCTTTATATATCAGTATCTTCCACAAATAATCTTTATATCAGTAACTTCCACTGCCATTTTGCAAACAGTGTCGGTTTTGTTATATTCACCATTTCACCTGTAGGTAATATTATTATTAAAGGTTTAAAGGTTTATTAAGAAACACATTTTGGCACCCGAAGGTGAATTGCAATATGCTTACAGAAACATAATAAAGGATGAATATCAAATAATATAAATATAGATATATCGTATATATATGTACAGTTGTTAAAATACTACAAATTATTTACTATTAAAATTAGCAGTCATTGCTGGTATAAAACTAGTTTTAAAACGTTCCGTTCTGCATTTAGCTAATGTGAAGTTAGAATTGTTTCTTAAGTCCAGTTCATGCGATTCTTCACGGAGTGGGGGTAAGAGGTGATTGAGGTGAGCATCGGGTTTTAAGATCTTTTTGAAAGTTTTAGCACATAGCTCTTGACGTCTGTCGACAAGGCGCTTGCATTTAGCGATGTTGAGAGCATCTTCGTAATCTGTTGTCGGATAAATAATACGGAAAGCTCTTTTTGAAACTTTTTCAATTTTATCCCCCAAACACTTTGGTAACATGGTGTGCCAGACAGGACAGGCATATTCTAAGATAGAGCGCACCATAGAAAAGTAGACTAATAAGAGGTCATTGGGGGGAAGACCACAGCGCTGTAGGACACGAATAATGTATAAGCGTTTTGAGGCTTTTTAACTAACGCTTCAGTGTTATCTTGCCATTTCAATTTATTGTTCATGGTTAAGCCCAAAATTTTGAAAGAAGGAACTAAGTCTAGAGGTAAACCATCAATGAGGAGTCGGGGGATGTCATTCTCGCTACGGACGAAACTCACTATCATTTCTTTGCATTTCTTTCCGTTCAATTTCATGTTGTTATTAACAGTCCATCTTTCAATTGTGTTAAGATCAGATTGTAGGACTGAAACTTCATTTTTCTTTAAGGACTCCGATATTGTTACGTCATCCACGTATTTCCAATGGTCAGTGCTAGAGGATGCCAGTTCAAGATCGTTGATCATAATTATGAACAAAATAGGGCCCAATTTAGTTCCTTGAGGGACACCTGCGTTATTGATGCCTTAATCAGATTGGAAATTGTCGATCTTTACCGATTGACGGCGATTTGAGAGAAAGCTGCATATCCATGGAATAAGCGACAATCTGACGCCAAGGGCCAGCAACTTTGGGACTAGGATATTATGGTCGATGCGGTCAAACGCTTTACTAAAATCGAGGAAAACGATCCGCAGATAGCTCGATTTATCATCCAATGTTCTTAGCCAATTGTTGATCATATCGATCAAGCAAAACGTTGTAGATGTTCCTTTAAGGCAACCAAATTGTTGCGGGTTGATTTTATGTTTCACGTCATCCACCATCCAATTGACCACAAAGTCCTCAAGAATTTTGGACAAAGAGGCTGTAAGGGAGATTGGGCGCAACTCCTCCTCACAGGATACGGATGGCGCTTTAGGAATTGGTGTAATTAACGCATCTTTCCATATGTTAGGGAATTCACCAGTGGACAGAGATGTATTAAAGATGTGACATACAGGTTCGGCCAATTCGTACGCGAAATCCTTAATAATCCGGTTAGGAATATTGTCAGGACCGCTGGATTTGAAAACTTTTGTATTGAGCATCTTAGTGCAAACTTCGTCAGGGAAAATTTTTGGTACAGGCCTTGGTGCAGGGAGAAAGGCAGGTAGCAGGAGAGGATTCAGTGGTGGTAGGTCATTACTCACGCTTAAGAAATAGGTGTTAAGTGATTGGGCGAGATCTTTACCCGATAGAGTGGTACCATTCTTAACGATCTTAATGTTATTGGTTGCAGATCTTTTTTCCCGGACATCTGGTTAACACAGTCCCACCATTTACTGGAGTCACTGGATTTTAGGTGTTGTACCTTGTTTGTGTAATATGCACGCTTTTTCACTCCTATGTCGTTTCGGACTTTAAGTCTATAGTGACGCCAGAGGTCAAGGTTACCAGAATGAAAGGCTTTTTGCCTTTGATAAATCAGTTTTTTTAATGCAGGCGTCATCCATGGTTTGTCAGAGTTATGAATTCTAATAACCTTAGACGGGAATAACCTATCAACAGCAGAATTTAACTCGTTGGTAAAGGAGGACGCTAGGGCGGTCGCAGAGTTTTTGCTTTCGGCATCAGAGAACCACTCACGTGAGCAGCACCATCTTCCAAAAGCTGCACGTGCCGACATGGGGAAGGAACGTATATTTTTCTTAATTGTTTTATTATCTGTTCTTAAAACGTTAGTTTTCACGGACCATTTAACAATGTTGTGATCTGATGAGCCGAGCGGTGCTATAATCACAGGCTTAGAATACAAGGCTTCTAGATTAGTAACAATTAGATCCAAGATGTTACCTTCACGCGTTGGGGTGTCCACTATTTGCGTAAGATTGTGATGGCACAGGAGATCGCTGATTTCTAAATTGTTGAAATCACCGAGTAAGACAACACCGCAGTCGGGGTGGGTACATCTAACTCGGTCAATCTGATCGATAAGATAGGCCGTTAATTCCTTTTGCTCATTGACTGGTGTATCAGGCGGGTTATATAGGACACAGCAGATTAATCCAGTTAGGTGTCTTGGGAGGCGGTGGGGTCGCAGCCATAACCATAAGCATTCATGAGAGGGGTTTTCAAGGTCCATCTTCTTTTAGCTGGGATATTTGTCGAGATGAAAGCGCAGACACCCCCACCACGGCTGTAAGATCTATCATTGCGAAAAATGTTGTAATTATTTATGTAAATTAGTTGCTCAGGAACAGTATCTTTGAGCCACGTTTCAGTTACAGCAATAAACTCTATAAAATGTATTGATAGTAAGAGGGATAGCTCGTCTATTTTGGGTAACAGTGAGCGAGCATTTATAAGAAGAAAACTCGGTAATCTTGATATGTTGTTTCGGTTCATGGCCTGGTCATGTATTGAAGTACTGACTAATTTCAGTTGTCTATGATTATTAATGTGGTTAACGACGGTTTTTGCACGGTTGTTAGTAATTCTCACAGGGATCTTTGAGTATTAGCGCTAACGACAGGGATTACACCAGTGTTTCTGCAAAACGTGCCCTGCAATAGGGGGGGGAACTTGTATAACATAACAGCTAATAAATATTGTTTGCATTTTGTCTTTTAAACTCCGCGCAATCCACGCAACCCGCGCGAAAATTCCTGTGTTTCTATCGAGTTAATTATAGAAACACGGGGTTTGTTAGCTTTTGACCAATCAGCGCCCATGTTTTAGAAGTCCTTTAAAAGTCTATTTTTATAAAGACTTATATATCTTATTGATAGATTATATGATCCCTAATTAGATTTATATTACGATCCTAAATTAAATACCTTTTGAGATAATATAATTGTAAAAATAACTCGGGATGATTCAGTTCTTGTAACTGCGAGAGAGTTTGAATTAACTATTATTATCAACTAGCAGGGGAGTATTTTTGTGCCATGCAAGAAGGGGAGTAGGCCTACTTTTGTGCCAAGACTTATAGAAGGGGAGTATTTTTGTGCCAAGAGCAACACAGTAAATCTAAAAGATTTTACGATACGTTGCCATTTTTTCAATAAACTAGCTCCATTTATGGCATTATAATTTTGATTTTCGGTTCATTCCCATGCAGGGTTCGCAGTTTCCAAGACCAAAAAATTCACAAAGACGTTTCAAATCACGTCCAAAAAGGCGCCATCTCTTCGATACTGAATACTGATTCGTGAAAATCTTCTAGAAATTAATCGCTCTGCTTGATCGTATAAATCAAATAGCGGCTTACTAAAAACTTATAGAGACTTTCAAGGGCGTTACGACCCTGACTGGCAGATTCGAAGTTCTTCTCAATTCTCAAACTATAAACTTAATTCAGTTGTATATGTTGCTTTCATTTTTGTATGTGGGGTTCCAGTACCTTATAAAACCTATAATTTCCACATGAATGACTTTCGCTCGATGCTTTTGATAAAATGAAAGTCTCACATATGGATAAAGACTCCAGATCGATTCCGTATCTGATACACCACAATCCTTATCCTTACGAAAATTTTACATTTCCTGGGGCCGGTTGTATAAAAAAGTGATTAAAGTTAACTATGATTAAGTGCAAACGTCATCCAATAAGAAGGGCCTATTTGAGAGTACGTTAATCACTATTTAATTACAAAATAGTGATTAAAAAAGTGATTAAGAGTTTTGTACAATTAACCGACCCCAGGTATCTAGATCTATCACTAGAAATCCTCGCTATTTAAAGTACAGGGATGGCGTATGTCTCCCAAGTTTTATTCAAAGGCATCCTTTTCTTCAAATATAACAATGGAAAAAGTACAGTACTGCACCTTTGTCTATAGTTCACACTCCCAGACTAAGCCTGGCCGTGACCTAAACTTGCCAGCCACTCATAAGGATCGACAAATTACCATCATAACTGTAGGAAGACGACTGGGAACCTAGTCCAGCAAGCCTATAGTCATGGCCTTGGCGTGGTGTAGTATTCAACGGAATACTAATTGCAGTATTATGCAGCTATATATATTAAGATATATAGCCGCATAACACTACAATTGATATTCATTCTACACCAATGTTATATGTGGGCTTCGCTATAAGAATTGCATGCAGTATTAAAATCTACATATTATTATGTCAACTCTATTTATCTGCCTCTAAATGCAAGGCTACCGCTGTATATTTTGGCGATAATAAAACCTAATAAGATACACGTTCCGGTTTAAATATAACAGTGCATAAAATAATTTTACTTCCCAGCTATATTGGAATAATTAATTAAGGTGCTTAATTGTACATAAATCTACATTATCTATTTAATTACCTATATAATCTATATTTTATATAATCATAGTTTGTACTATTACTATAAATAGTGTTTATTTATATAATTATTATATGTTCTATTCATGATCCTCTTCACTAGTTGGACTCTTTGATTGAGATATTTCCTCTTTGTTGGACAAAGCCTGATATTTAGACCCTTCCTCTTGTTTTTCAGCTGAGGTTAATATAAACTGAATGATAATAAAGAATACAAGCACAGTGAATGAAGCGACAGCAAATCCTCGGAACGTTTCCCTTTCTCCGAACACTCGGAATGAAAAGCCTCCGATGATTGAACCTCCACCAAACCCGAGACCCCAGAATGATGCTTGAACGATACCTTGATGGAAGAAAACAAAAAAATTTAATGGATATTCAGAACAAGGATTAGTGAAGAAGACAGAAGTGGATGGGGGCACATTCTTATGACAATAACATGCTTATGTAAATTACAGTGTGTACAAGCATGGGGCGTCCAAGAACTAATTGGAGAAGGACTGTGAAGAAGGAAAGTAGTAAGTCTGGTTGGAGATCTTGGAACGAAGCCAAACATGTTGCCAGAAAACGAGGGAGCTGGGAGAGTGCATTATTGCAGCCTTTTAGCTTTATGGACCACGCGACACGCGACCCGAACTGAAGTGAGGACCGTGCCTGCATGGGATTGGTACCGAAGAAAAATTCCTTGTGGGTGATTCATTTTTAGACTGGATAGTGTTTTGGTTGCTATTTGTATAGTCGAAAAATATTACATTTTTGCCATTCATTCATCCGTTGAAATACTAAGTAACTGCAGAAGATACATGCGCAACATTTTGAAATACTGAATATGCATGTATAAGTTCATTCCGGCTACCAGCAGGTTTTAATGCTTGTTTTCATTGTTGTATACAGGATGTCTCCCCCAGAATGAAATGTAAACTGGAACAGTTAGCCGCTTCAGACGTGGAACATTTCATGTGCTGTACCTGATGTACTTGAGATCAAACCAAAATTTTAACTCATTCCCATTAGATTCGGCACATGAAAGGTTCGACATCTGAAACAGGGCTTACACTCAAGTGTTGGTGCAAAGTGTTTCGTAACGTACCTTGTACGATGGTACTAGACCCCGGTGGAGCAGCTCGATTGAGATACGAGACACATGTTGTCCAAGAGAATGCGTACGCGCCTGTGGACAAAACTTCCAATGGTACTGCAAACCAAGGATTAGACAGGAAGGAATATAACAGACACGTGACAGCAAACGCCAATAGACATCCAGCTGCTACTTTCGCGTGACCCAAACGTACCAATACGAAGGGTGAAATAAAATAAACACAATTTTCAGCCACGCTCCTAAGAGATGAGGCCACACCTAAAAGAACTGCATTTGCACCGAGATCGTCCAAAAACCAGAAACTGAAGCTGGTCAGGAAACCATAACACAGACCCATATAGAGCGTTACTAGGAGAAAAATTCCATAGTTTAAATTGAGCAAGGCATCTTTAATATTTTTATTCTTTGATGAAGATGCTGAGCTATCATAGCGATGTCGAAAATGTGTCGCAGCGATAAAAGCCGCACATAGATACGCAAAATAGATATAGAATATGTAATGATATCCGCTTACAGTTCGACCACAAATAGTTTGTCCATAATGATCAAACAAAGCTCCGCTAATTGGGGAAGTGATACCCGCTCCTAGAGCTCCCCAGAAACGAAACATTCCAAAACGTTCCCTATCTTCTCCTAAGTAATCAAGACAGCAAGTGTCAGCTATAGTAGACACCAGTGCTTCAAATACCTCGCCGAATAACGTCAGACATAGTAGAATAATAAAGATACGCTCAATTTCATCTTGATCTTCCGTTTTAACAAACATCAATTTATAGTCCTTGGTCTTCTCGATGATCACACTTGGTGGTGAGAGAAAGGGATCCACATCGGTATTTGGCTTCACTTCCTTTTCTATTTCTGATTCATCGTTTGAATTATTGAAAATATAATCCTCTGGCTCTAAAATAGTTCCTAGAATATCTTGAAACTTTATGCCCGAGTTACTTGCAGGTTGCCAGCGTTTATGAGTTTGTTTTGTTGACCCCATAAATTGTTCTCTCGTTGATCGTTTTGTGATGTGAAATTCAATTAACTTTGATGAAATAACTACATGATGCGTCTTATTAACATACACAACATTGCATACTTGTTTCTGAGGTTGAAACGGCAGAAATAGCATAGTTCGTACAGTCATAATCACTAATCCTACCAACAAAAGAACTCGCTTGATTCTATACCGATCTCCCAATATTCCTGCCAGAGGAGCGCCAATAATTTGTAGCAGTGGATGTGTGCCATTTATCAAGCCGACATGGCTAGCTGTTAAACCCAGTGTCTTTAAATACACCGACACGTAGGAATTAAATGTTTGAACTGCGCCGTAGAAGAAAAAGTTGAAAAACTTGTACGAGGCTGATTCATCCGTGCAGTTTGTCCGAACGTGAGAGCACAGAGAGGAAATGTTGCTACATCCACATTCCTTATCATCGGTAACCGTTTTCTTCTTTTTGATTTTCTTTGATTTTTTGTCTTGACTTTGATTCCCTTCGCCATATTCATTAGTTTCACTTCGTATATCCTCCATGTTTATATAACTATAATATAACTATTTTGAACTCGAGCTCGATAATAACATATCTGTATACACATGACCTTTTCTCCGAATCCAGTTACGGGATGAATGACACGTTCGAATGCAGTGAATGTTAGCAGTGAATGTTAGCAGTGAATGTTAGTTTGTCTGACAAAGTACAGTCTACAGATGAAGTGAATATTTAAGTAGTTACAAGCTGTTCCTTTCGAATAAGTTTGCTGTCATAAAATTTGCATATGAAAAGACTTATACGTACTAACAAAGATGTCTTTATCAATGACGCTCAGTTCAGCTCAACCGCATAAACCGCCGTTTCAAACTCATGTTGTTCGCTCAGTATCTTCCAAAATACTTTCTGTCTTTAGTGAATTATTTTATTTAAACAGTAATTTTAGAAAAAAAATGAATTCTCTATACTTAAACCGTTCAGGTTGCCGTGTAAATGAAATAACACAGGAAAAATTTAATTACGGGGACTTATTACTTATATTGCGGGGGTGTCAGGTCGATAAACCTTTGTGTTCAGCCGAGCGAGATCGGCGCAAAACTTAAAATTAGTTACTACCTTCAGGATAAGATAAGATTTAATTATGCCTCTCTGGGCAACTCATACATCTAAGAAAATTACAGATATATAAATCTTACAGTAATATATATTACAATTATTAAAAATTAGAAACAAGAAATATGTCTTCGCATAGCAACCTCTGGATGCAATTTAAGATAAGTAACATGGTCATTCTTGTCCGGAATTCTGTTAAAGATTTCTTGCGATAAATACCAATATCCGTGACGAGAATCCGGGTTATAACTTTTTAGATCATCAAGTCCTGCCTTAAACTTAAAGGCGTTTACACTAGGTGCATACTTAACAGAGTTTGGTAAATTGTTCCAATACTTAATTACTCTTACGCTAAAACAATCTAACGCAAATCTGGTCCTACAGGATGATACATTGCATAAATTACGAGTACTATAATGCAAATTATGGTTAAACATTTGATGGCCATGGCCATAGTTAACATGTCCGTTAATAATCTTGTATGCTTCAATAAGATCACCTCGAATTCTACGTTCGAGAAGTGTTGTCAGTCCCAGCTTTTGAAGTCTCTCACTATAGCTGAGAATTATTCTAGTAATATCATGATTGCGGGTATTCCCTTTGTTCTCGCAGGGCAATTAATAACTAATACACTTCATTATATTCATTTTTTCTAATCCTACCCGCTTTTACGTCATGTCAGGTAGAATTAGTTGTAATCCTACCCGAAACGACGTCAAAGCGGGTACGATTAGAAAAAATGAATATATCTGAAATCGCCAAAACTAAACAAAGACAAGGAAAACAATTATACCATTTAATTTATACATTATTTATTGTTAATTGATTTTTAATGGCCCTGCGAGAACAACGGGAATACCCGCAATCATGATATTACAAGGTAATAGGCTAATAGCATAGAAAGAGGCGAATTAGCTATTGAAAACGTCCCGCCCGATGAGGGTCGTTTAGTAAAATTCCCTTGGGCGCCGCTCGATTCGGGTCATTTAGTAAAATTCCCGGGGGCCGAAGGCCCTCGGGAATTTTACTAAATGACCCTCATCAAGCGGCGCCCAAGGGAATTTTACTAAACGACCCTCATCGGGCGGGACGTTTTAATAGCTAATTCGCCTCTTTCTATGCTATTACTTATAATAAAATCCCTTTGACATTTTTCAATTGCCATAATTATACCCCAATTACCATGCTTTGCTACCGGGGTCCCCCAAGGGTCTGTTTTGGGACCCTTGTTATTTATATTATTTATTAATGATATGCCACAAGTTACTAAATTTAATACTGTGCTTTTCGCTGATGATTCCAAAGTTATTGATAATGCATATTATCCGGAAGATATTCAAACAGACATTGACTGTCTCAGTAGGTGGTCAGAAATATGGCAGATGAAATTTAATGTGGAAAAGTGTGGTGTACTTCACATCGGAGAGAGCAATCCGCAACATGGCTATACATTGGATGGTATTCAACTAAAAAGTGTACAGAAAGAAAAGGATTTGGGGGTAACCTGGTCTGCCGGGAAGTCCTTATTTGATGATCATATTCGAGAAGGAATCGGAAAGGCCAAGAGGATGATTGCCTGCCGTTAATAAGAAATGTTGTATCTCGTAAACATGAAGTGTTGGTTCCTCTTTACAAGGCCTTTGTGAGACCCCATCTGGAGTATTGTGTGCAAGTTTGGTCTCCAGAAGTAACAGGCTCCCATGATGAAATATGATCTCCCACACGTACTGCCATTGATCTACCTGTCAGGAAGTTCCTTATAATGTCATGAACCTGCCCAGTAATTCCGTAACTTTCTAACTTTAACAACAATCTTTCGTGTGCAACCTTATCAAAAGCTTTTTGAAAATCCAAATATATAAGATCAACAGGATCTTCACTATCCAAAAACGTGATAATATATTGTAGTGATTCCAACAAGTTAGAGAGACAAGACTTCCCTTCCATAAACCCATGCTGATTCTGACTAATAAATCCCTTAACATGACTGTACAGATGTTTAAACAAAAGCTTTTCATACACTTTACATAGGATGCAAGTTAGAGAAATTGGTCGATAATTACCAGCATCACTAAATGCCCCCATTTTATGTAATGCAATTATAATTGCTCTCTTCCAAGCTTCTGGGAATTGTCCGACGTCTGAAATAGATCTATATAAAGCTGTTACGTACGGCACTCACAAAATTATCATTTCCCGCTAAAATTCTAACAATTTTTGGATGAACTCCATCTGGCCCAGCACACTTTGAGACATCTAGAGCCAGCAGCTCATTTTTCACATTATAGTCACTAATTATTAGTGGATCAATTTGTTTAACAGCGATCATATCGGTTACAATCGCGAGTGAGTGAAGTCTCGTTTGTAAAAACAGTTGCAAACGATTTGACAAGCAAATCAGCAGACTCCTTTACACTAGTTGTAAATTCTCCATTAGGCTTTTTCAACTTAGATACAGTGGGATTGGACTTTTTCTTACTACGTAAGTATGCATAGAACTGCTTAGAATTGTACTTTATTCCTTTAGCCAATTTTATCTCATAACTTTCCTTACTTTCCCGTTCTACAGTCTTATATTGACCTTGAGCCTCAATAGCAGATCAGACATAAGATTGTAATGTGTGGGGGACGTATCAAAACAGTGCCAAGCTTTATCTTTGCTTTCCTAGAATGCTGAAGTCTAGAGCATTCCCATGGCGCTTTCTTAATTGGAATTCCTTCCTTCGTAGTTTTTAGCTTAATAGTTGGCACAGAGTTATCAACAATATTCAAGATCTTATTCAATAATTCCTGACTTTGTGTATCTACAGAATTATCAAATACACCCGAGTAGAACCAGTCCGTCTGTTGCCCCAAATATACAACTTTAGCAATATCACATTTCGACCAATTATACTTTACAGAGGTCAAGTACTGGCGTCGTCATATAGCTTAAGGAAGGGCAGTGGTATTGTTGAGTTTCAGTAAGAATATTACAGGACAGCAAACGCATGGTGGTCAATTTAAGAAATGTTTAAGTTTGTATACAGCTTTATTTTCCAATTTAAGGTTGTCCCCGAGCAAAGCGGAAAAGTCCGATACGAGCGCGAAAGACTTGCTGGGAATCGCTAAAAAATTAATGAATTTTTAGCGATTCCCAGCAGCCTTTCGCGCTCGTATTCGACTTTTCCGCTTTGCTCGCGGGGACAACCTTAATTGAAATAGCTGTATAGTGCCAACAAATTAAAGCGCATATCTCTCCACTACATACATATAATGAAAACAATTAACATTATTTTCTCGTACTAATAATTCCCAGTTGACCACCATCTTCTGCACATAATTTATTAGATACAAGTCCAAAGGGTCAAATTTTACAGGCTGTTTCAAACTATTAAACTTTCCGCAAGCAAGTTGAGTAGCAGTTTAAATTTTATCCAAAATAAAATCAGTTTAGCATTTGCAAGTCTATGTAAACTGATTTTCACGACACAATGGAATAATCATACTGTACATACATTCTCGTACCCAGAGCCCTTCTTACGCGCGGTGCGATGAGAGGCTCTGGCCAAATTAAATCCATATTCCGAACTGGCATCTGATTGGCTAGTTCTAACACCGGACATTGTTTTCTTACCATGTTTTTATGGTATCCGGTTATGGATTTGGCCAGAGCCCTCGTCGCACCGCGCGTAAGAAGGGCTCTGGGTACGAGAATGACTTCAGCCGAGAAGCCTTCAGCCGAGAAGCCCTGGGAACGAGGATGCCTCACATGTGACGTTGTTCTTTTTGCAATTATTATCAAATCCATATTTTCTATATAAATTCTAATGCACCGCTATACCTGTGCTTACTACCTTCATCTACAAACAGTTACAGACTGTGGTCTATTTTAGCCTGAATTGAATTTGTTCTAATTGCCTGATACTGTGCTGCTAAAATTATAATGGAAGCCTCTCAGTAATAAACTAGTTCGACAAGAATGTACATACCAAAAAATTGAGTAAAATTCGCCCAGGCTTTGACAGTTTCATTTTGTTTTAATATCAGATTAAATCTGCCAAACCGCGGGGATTTATTTAAAAAATCCCACCCCAAATATACAACAAAACTTATTGGAGTATCGTTTACAGCAAAAGAGTAAAATATAGTTCAGATATCAGTATCACTGAACACTCCATCACGTAAGTGTTTTGTAAAGAAGATAGGGGTCCTTGTGGCGAATGAAAACATAAGGGCCTGATACTCAGGTTAGTCCTCTTCCAGAAAATTTTTTTATCAGTTTGATTCTGAACTGAAGACTGCGTTCATCTGCCATTTTCTGGAGACTGGAGCATCCACAGTTATATTTTCGTTAGCTTGGTAACTGCACATTCGTGGTTTTAGCACTGCATAAATGGATTTAGAACTGTACATTTTCCACCCCTCCTCAATTTTTCATCGAATTTGAACGAATCTAAAACTACACTTTGAAAAACATTGGGGGCGGGGGACGCAATTTTTTGTCAATTCGTTCTCTCATAAATCATAATCAGTCTCCCACTCAACCCTCGTAACCTTAGTACCTTACATTACTTACAACAGTTGTATGGTAGTTGTCTGGCAAACGCTAGGGTTCAGTCTGTGGCTGGGGGCTAGCTAACATTTTGCACGGAGGGTGGGGCCGTGGGGGCTATATTTTCCGTATAGTACAACATTTTGCAACCGGCAAACTTTGCAATTTTACTAATTTTAGGGTGCTCTTTTCAGTTTTGAGCTATAATGATATAATTCGTCTTTCTTGTCTAGATAACAAATTAGTCGATAGCTGGAATTGTCTATAGCGTACAGTGCATAAGGTGACCAATTATACGTCGACACGGTTTGTTGCGTACATACTGTATTGCACATGGACTGGTATTGCATCAGCGCGAGATATATTGCACAAGCCATTGCCTGCACGACGGAAGTTGGAAGTGTTGAACTTAATACTATCAGGTTAAAAGAAGCACATTGAAATCAGGTAAAGCGTTTTTTTCCCACTTCTATCGTGCTGTTAGTTTAGTAATGGTATCTTAGCCCTTCTTATGTGAGATGAAACTCCGTTAGGTTTGTGTGTACTGTGTATTTTGAAAGACACGTGTACAATGTCTTGCTTCGTTGCCTTTGGCATTCTTTGGCGCATGTTGCTGAAATATGTTGTTTCTTGGACTCATTTCTAAGTTGGGAGTGTTACATGCTATCAGGCCTATAATATAAATATTAAGCGAGGGTTTTACCCTGCGAGCAAAGTCTGATTTCTCCCGGGAAAGGGAAGGGCGATTCTCTCCCTTTGAAACTAGGTGGGTAGAGATATATATTATGAGTATATTAAATTTAACATTGATTAGATCGATTGATACATGTGTATAAATTATATGTTGTGAAACAATGTGTTGTGCATTAACTATAAACGGTGAAAATGAGAAAAGTATATCTACTCCAACAGGTATTAATTTAGATCAATGTGAATCTTTGACCTCCCACTGGCCACCTGAAGTTGAGGAGAATGGAAATGCCAAATTAACAAAATAGCCTGATTTCAGCATGTTAAATCTTCCCCTGGCCAGATGCAGGAAATACCATTTCAAAAACTCTAGATTTCAAAATCTTCCAGGGAAGCATGTCCCTGGTCCCTGGATCCCACTATAAAGGTTTGTCAAGCCCTCCAACTCAGTGGCAGGGGAACCATGCAGTTCTATTTGGGGGGGGGGGGCACTAATTTTCAGCTAAGCTGGGTGCAAACACGACTCACAAGACATGATCCAACTGTCGGAGCAGTAGCGTAGGACAATTTTTATAGTTAAGAGGGCTGAAAACTAGGTGGGTCTGGATCATATTGAAAAATTCCATATCCCGACATATCTTTTGAACACTTTCTGGCACTGAAATCAAGAATTTAGATGGCAAAAATTGCTTCATAGTTGATTTTGGTCATTTTGGATAACTTGGTTTGTGGGGGCTAAAATCACCAGCAAATTAGCATACAGTGCAGTTACACTATCCAGCAATGGAGAAAGCTCATGCTTTTTAAACAAGACACAGTTATCTCAAATAATTAAACCATCGTTTCTATAATATCAATATCTATAAATAGATTGTTTAATTTAATGGCAATTTTGTTCACTATACTTTTGAATCTTTGTATTACTCTGGTCATTTTTTGAGGGGGGTAGGGAGGGGGGGCTCTTACTTCTTGGGGGTTCAGGTTCTGTCACCACTACCTAACTAAACCAATATTCTAACATTACAACCCGCACGAAAAAAATCACAGCGTGAACCGCGCTAATATAGTGCGGATCACGCTGTGATTTTAGGCCTCGCCAACACTTTGCCTGCAACTGCAGAACACCATAGACTGTCATCAATCAAGGAAAACTGATGTGAGGGAGAAGTTGAATATTATTTTTAATGCCTAACGCAATGATATTTGATTACAAGCTTGTTCACAAGGGGGCCAAATATTATAAAATTGATTCAACTAAAATAGCTCGCAGAATAAAACACAGGTGTACCCCGTTGCGATTGTCAAACGATATGTGAAGTAGCTATAGCTCTACTGTATTCTATAACTCGGCTCTTAAAATGTGGCTCTTAGACGATTGCAGCTTATCGAAGGTATAGGTCACCAGCAAAGTTTGCGCATAAAATCACACTCAGATGGAACATAAATTAAATATAATGATGTCATGCACTCCTTAAGTCTTTACGTTTTCATAAATCTATCATGTAGTAGCTATAGTGACTGCTGTGTCCTGCGTGTGACTGATTTAGTTTGAATTGCATGATATTTTAGACAACACGAAATAATTGAGAAAACATATACATAGGCTACATGTCATACACACATACATACATAACATATCTCAAGTCAAAATATACCCTCTCAAGTCAGTAGACAGTATTCAGAGATGAAAATGGCACATATATATTGCATGGGCATACTGTAGACTGTTTTGACCTGTGAAATTAATTCTATACCAATATGTTCTCATTTTAATCAGTCATTTGAGGACGTTCTATTAGCTTCCACTGGTTTTAAGAAAAGATGGCACATCTTCATAACCTGCCAGCAAAATATGGCACATATTTCTGGCACAAGAGTTTTCACTAAGTAGAACCTCACACGCGTATATTCTCTACAGATTCCACTGGTTAAGAAAAGATGGCACATCTTCATAACCTGCCAGCAAAATATGGCACATATTTCTGGCACAAGAGCTTCTATACTGAGAGAATATATGCGCGTTTTACCTATATACATATTGTTTTCATTCCAAGGTCTAGCACAATACATGCATGCCATACATGCAATATAAAAATCAATTTGTTAGCCGTGAATGCTGAATATAGCTCACTTATAGTTATACATGTAGCTATACATCAATACATCATCTATACACGTTGACTGAGTACGGCATATTGAGTACCATATTGGTGTCCTAGTAATAATTCTCTCGTTTATTTTTACATGCCCGGCTCCATACAACAAATACAAGCTTTTTAGTACAGCGCGATCATACCCTTAGGATCGGATCATATTTTTTGCACCACAGCCGGCACAGGATATATTTGCCCGTTACAATTTTAATACACGCATCTCCAATTTTATGTTTTATAAATCTACACATGTACTTATTTTCTTATAAGTTCACATTTATGCAAATAACAAGTAGTTGTTTATTATTTGTTATATATCCTTAGTTTCATCAAATACAACATAGGCTGCTTTTAGAGTTTTCAAGTCCGAACATTGTGCCAACAACACGAGGCCATCACATTATCATATTTCACACTATACTTTTTGATCTAACATTTAGGGACTATTGCGGCGTTTCGTCCTTCATGGACTCGTCAGCAGGGATTTGGGATTGGTATATGTGTGAGAAGGACACAGAATACAGAAACCGATTTGGATTACAGAGTGAATAAACATAAAAATAGCAATACATGCGTATGATTATTGTAAAATAAATGTAACTATATAAACTGTCTTACCAAATTTGCTGCTATTTTTTGTCAAACCAACTTACCAACACGTTACCGTTGGACCATGGTTGTAATTTCTCAGGACTGTTGTATAACTATAGCGCTTATATATATCAATTGCGATTGTACTAACTATGCGTTGGATATGTGTGAATGGCCCTTGGCTAAGCAATTTTTTCCGTTAGAGCCATTGCTAAAATTCCAAACGTCGAGACGGTAACAACGTACGTCACTTCTTTGTCTTGTACCAGAATCCAATCAATTGAATGGTGCGAGATTTCCATCGCTGCCGTAAACATCTTCGAGCTTGAGTTTCGAACGTCTCCCGCCAATTTCTTGAACGCAATATTCTGTTCTTGGTTTCGATTCGGTTGGTAGCCATGCAAAGAGTCACTGAACGCGCACCAATTTGTCTTTGGATCAACATACAGTTCTAACAAATACTCGATGATATCGCTTCGTTGCAAACAAATCGAGTGTGATGTTAGTTTGGTCGTGCAATACACAAACGCACCATGTCTGAGCCATACTCGTTCGCGCAATTGAATTTGGCGCGCTATAGCGCATATGCAGCCTTTGCCATTGGTATCAGTGTTGACAGCTAACTTCACTATATTCATTTAATAATCGTTAGATTTTAACTATTTGCATTTTTAAATATTAATATTAGAGGTTAGAGAGGTATAGAATATCAAATCAGCTTGCTCATTAACGCAATTTGTACACATGCGTCTGTCAACAGAACCTACACCTGGCTCAGCCATGCTATGGTAACGAACACCTCCAGATTTAATTACTTCACACATCGTGCGGGTTGTAATGCGAAAAACCGTCTGCTTCTAAACCGGTAAAACCGGAAAACCGTTTTTTTCCCTTTAATTTTTACTTCAACTGAATGAGGAAGAATTGTGGTATTTTTTTGACATAAGCAAACGAACAGTACACGACAAAACGCAAAATTGTGCAAAGGTAACCTAAAACGACTTCAGTTTTAAAATAAAAGGGTCAAGAACGCATTTGAAAACTTATACAATTAGTGTCATGTTTTGAGAATTAAGATCGAGTTTCGGGCGATGATAGTAAACAATTACGTAATGACGGTTTTCCGGTTTTTGTAAAAGCTAAACCGAAAAAAACAGTTTGAAAATAAAACCGAAAAAAAACGAAAAACCGGTAAACCGTCCAAGCCTAATATATACCGGGTGGCCCAAAAAAAAGTACTCCTGTTTGATTCGTAATAACATCTAAACAAGTATAGCTTTTAAAGAGAAATAACTTGCATCAAATAGAGGAAGGACTAACTTAGACTTTGATATATTACAGTTGTATTTCACTTAAAAATTCACGGAGATATTAATCTTTAAATTCGGGAGGATATTTCTGGATGTGTCTGAAATATGCAAAAATCGGCGTATCAAATATTAATTAATCAAGATTTGCCCGACTGAAACATGCACTATTACCAGTAAATAAATGACACTTGACAAATTGTTTATTATGAAACAAAGTATTATTATATCTACAAAATACAAGCAAGATTCATTCGTCCGAAATTCGCGTGTGTTCCTAGCACGAATACGTTTCCTTATTTCATGAGACCACTGCATCGCGAAGGATCGTCATTGGATCGTTCGTAGTTCTGAATTAGGGCATGCTGTCACAACGGAATTGTGAAGCTCTTCTAACTTCTGCAACGTTCTGAAATCTTGTTAAGAACACCCAAACTCTTTTGCCGTTTCTTAATCTTGGCAAGTTCATGGAGTAAACTGAGAATTATATGAAACACAATCAAACCATACAACTCCATAAGACATAACAATTAAGAAACTCCCCAGAGACATGCAACATTTTTGGAACAAAACGTAACAAAATAGTAGCGTTGATACGGTGATGTGTATTTGCAAAAAGCAATATTATTTCCTTCAATAAAGAATATTCATCCTGCTCTAACCGAGAAATAATCTACTCAGTCTGTTTGAACCCATTAAAAACATAAAAAAATTAGGCTATTTAAGAATACGAAAAATTTAAGCGCCTGCCTTCCATGGTCAGTCTTTCATGTACATTTAAGTTTGCAAAGACCTAATATTAAATACTTGCATAATTTCGAACGTTCATATTTCAGGAAACAATGAGCTAAGACTTACATGTAAGATGTCTAAATCTACGCCATATCCCTTACAAACCTTAACGATAATTCGCTGAAATACAAGTTAGCCTAATATGTCATTAAGCAAACAAACGCTGGAGTTAATATTTGATATGCCGATTTTCGCTAATTTTAGACACATTCCAAAATATGCTCCCCATTTTTAACATTAATATATCCGTGAATTTTTAAGTTAAATACAACTGTAATATATCAAAATCTAAGTTAGTCCTTCCTCTATTTAATGCAAGTTATTTCTCTTTAAAAACTTTACTTGTTTAGAAGTTATTACGAATCAAACAGGAGTACTTTTTTTTGGGCCACCCGGTATATATATATATATGGTCAATTTCACATGAGACATTGAAAATGGCAAAATTGCAAAATGCAACATTATGTGGTGCTAACCACATGTTTCCATAGTTAACACATTGGATTATCATAAATCAAAATGATTTTTGAATTTTGGCCCATGCCCACTCTGCGGCAAACCGTCGAATCTGCACTTGTTTGTTGCTATTGTTCTGTGGATAAAGTGTGTTTATTTAAAATAATTATAACTCAGTCACTTTAACTTTGAAATAAGTTATATTTCTTAACAAACACAGTCTAAGGTTCACATATCATGATGACAATGTTAGATCAGACAATATCCAGTGTTGCTGTGATTTATGGTGCATCGAAGTTTGGGTAAGAGAACAAAAAAACAATTCAATTTATTTTTCAGCCAAACGTCTAGCTCTTTTGACATTATATTTGTGCTGCTTTTTTAAAATGGTATTAACATTATTTTAGACTGGAAAAAGACAATAAAAAGTATTAACATGTCTTGAATAATGTGTTGCGGACATTACGTTGCAGACATTACATTTTTGAAATTGGAGAATTAGATGCTTAATATAAATTGTCTTGCTTGAATTCTATAGTTATTTTAAGCTTGATGACTTAAAAATAGAACATTAAAAGGACTATGGGACCCTTACTTTTAGTTTTAACTATAATCACTCCGTGCTGTATACACAATCACAGTGACACAATTCATCATGGAAAGTTTCCAAGTTACATATAATGCCACTACCGTATACTGCCATTGTACCATCAGTTTTGTAAGGCATATGTTGTTAAGAGCAAAATCATGTTTTAATTCATGTTTGTTTTGATCATCTTCCACTAAACCCAGGGGTGTTAATTATCCCCACCAAATGTAGTAAATGCAAAACTGTCAAATAGAATGGTCTACAAACATGACACTTTATTTGCTGCACAACCTGAGTCATTGCCTGAGTCTATGCGCAACAAATATTGCACTTTTGAAAGATATTATTGTCAACAGAAGATTATATACTGTAATATATGTGACCATGATTTCATCCCAGGATTTATGGTGGTATACACATGGGCATACAGGAAGGAAAAAATTAGGGGGGAGGAAAGAAATTTGCCTGACTTTTTCGGATTGTGCCCGCGTTGTTAAAAAAATTTCCGGAGAAACTTTCCAAAATTGTTGTCGACGGGGGGGGGGACTAGTGATTACGAAGAATTCCTATTAGATAGATAGCATATTTCCCACAAAATTGACAGAATTCCCCACAAAATTGACAGAATTTGTCCCATTTATTTTTATAATAAGCCAATATTGCCCAAGTGTGAAGCGAATATTGCCCGACTGGCTTTGTTTGCCCAACAAACTGGGGGGGGGGGGGCTGCCGCCCCCTCTGCCTCCCCCGTCATCAAAACTCAGTTATTTAGGTCAATTATAATACCAACATGGCGGACTGCACACTGTTTTTGCTCAAAATATTTCGAAAAGCAAGCAAGGTACGAGCAGGGTTCTGTCCACAGTGGGTACTGGGTGGTACCAAGGGGCAGCACCCAGAATGTAGCTGGACTGCATGCCTGCCCAGCACTCGCATCAAAGCAGGCTCTATTTCTCTTCACTTAAAATATTTCAAATATGTAATACAAAAACTAAAATATTCTATTTTAATTATTCTATTTTTGCGACCAGCGAGCGAGCACCAGTGAGCGAGCTGGGAGCATCCTAATCTGTGCGTAGAAAATTTAAATATACCGCTGAGTTCGGATTAGCCCCGGCTCAAGATTCACCGATTCACCTCGGCTTGCATTCCATATTTGGAACATATTTCCATATTTGGAAGACCGCATGAAACGGTATTTCCGCCGCTGTTATGCCGCCCAGTGTTTTATTTACTCATCGATACTGATGCAATTTTATACATGCATGTACCTTTAACTTTTGTTCATCAAATTGTACATCAAATGAAGTTTAACTTAGCATCTACTAACTGTTATTGAAGACAGATTTAAATAATCAAAAAGATTAAATGCTGTGCATGAGGATGTTGTGATGTATACAAAGAAACGTCTGTTGTTTGAAAGTCATGTGCCGGGCTTTAATATTTATCTTTAAATTGCGCTTTGTCAATCGGTATTGTTATTGACACGTCATCCTATTCATAGAAGGCGACTTTGGTAACCAAGCCTTAAAGTGATCCCAAAAAAATTTTCTGCAGGCGACTTTGCGCCGTAGCGACAATATAATCACAAATGTAACTATTTGTTATGTAATTTGTAGCAAGTGACGTAATTGGATACCAATTAGTCAAGTTAATATTTTGATAAATTTATCTAAATTGAATATTCAGTGTAAATTGGCCGACTTTTATTATATAATGAGCAATATTGGCCCATATATTATCGCCACCCCTTTGCATAAACTTGAAAAGTTGTTACTGTTTTTTATTTTGAATATATCAATAGACAATATGAAATAAAGTACCTTGTCATGTGCATGTTTATTTGACGCAAACCGCTATATAAAAAATAAAAAAACCCGACCGACCGCCCGACTTTGGCAAAAGTAAAGGATGATCACCAACTATCTGGCCAAAACAGCGTGAACCGGTGCGTTGTCATTAGTGACTAACGTCTCCAGGTCGCACTTTTTAACCTGTGGTTACGCCTAGTATACAAATTATTCTATTTTTTACAAGTTATATACTTTTTAACTTTGGTGAATTAATTTATTATTTAATTAAACAATGGTACTAGATGAAATTCAGCACTATAATGCCCACAATATAAAGGTGATTTGGAGAATTACATTGTTCCCACATATTTGGTTTATTGATGTTGTGCTGCAAGCTACTTTAATTTATAATAATACCATGCAATTGACTTGCCCAGATTACACAATTTGAAAAATAGCAATAAGCATTTTGAGACCAGATCTGCAGATCACCACCAAAATTTCAAAAGCTGTCAGTGGGGTGTGGGGGAGAGCCATGCCCCAAGGGTTGCAGTTACCCAACATTCACATGCATGGTCGTGAGCAGAACCCTGATTAGGTGTTCGTGTGCATTGCAATTTACAGCAAGACGTTTCTGTACTTTGAAAAAATATTTGACAACAGTGTGGGCATGTGGTGGTTAATATTGCATTTTCCCACCTGATAGCCATTGCAATCCTCACATAGTGGGTGATATGGGGCCGGATTTCATATTACATAATGTTCTGAACAATATGTGAAATTTGCAGAATTTACGTGAAATGCATGCGGAAAAGCTCAGTTGCTCAATGTCACCAGTCACCCGGGCTCTCAACTTCAAAATACAAACATTTCTGAAGCAGGAATGTGTTGGGCTTTCATGGTTGCCCAAGGCTGTTTCCCAATTGACGATTCCCCTTATTACGTTTCCGTAGCGCTTTGCATTGTGGTTATAGTGGTATCACTGAGTAGCGGCCTCGAATGAAAATATTGAATGTTTTCGCGCTACCCTAGCTTTTTTTAAAAGTTCTTGCACGGGTCAGGACAAAAAATAAGCCATCTTGAATATCAGTGATACCACTATAGCCACAATGCAAAGCGCTACGAAAACGTAATAAGGGGAATCGTCAATTGCATACTCTGTCTTGAAGGTATCCATTCGCCGTTGCATGGAATTCAAAATGAACAAAATGGCTAAGTTTCTGCATGTCAAATCTTCTCCAGAACGCAGGAACATGATGTAATTATTTCAGAAACTATAAATACTGAAATTTTCCAGGGAGCACATTCCAACTAAAATATCCCACCACCTATGTATAATTGGTCCATATTGCCCCTTTTCATTACACTTTTGATATTCCAACCAAACAACCTTCATACTTTTCAAAACGGAAATAATTATACTCCATGTGAATGTGTGCATAGTGAGGCATTGCCATTGGTGGCGCAGTCGTCAGAGCAAGTGCCTTTCACCAGTGGCGGACACTTCACGAAATATTGGGGGGGGGGGCGAAATTTTCAACATGTATGCCAAAGGGGTTTCGGTGTCCGTTTAAGGCTCTAAGTTATGCGAATCTTTCAGAACTTGGATTACTTGATGAAATTAATAAAGAGTCCCGAGTTATGCCATTGGACTGACATTATAGATACTTCTTCTAAGATAATCAGTAGACAGTTCCCATTATAACTAATTTTAAAACTAGGCATAGAGATGCAAATAAATCATTTAATCAATAAATTGCAAAGTTTGGTTGCGAAATGTTGTAAAATGCGGAAAATATAGCCTTGCAAAGTTTGCAAATTTTGTATACTTTTGTATTTCGTGCGGAAATTGCAGCTACCATTTTCGGCCAAAATATGCAAATGTAGTAGCAATTTCCACACACATGACACAATACACAGTATACAAAATTTGCGAACTTTGCAAGGCTGATTTTCCGCATTTTACAACATTTCACAACCAAACTTTGCAATTTTACTAATTTTTGTAAGCTCTTTCCGGGAATATACTTTTTTGGCCAAGATAAAAAAATTAGTCTATAATAGGAATTGTATATCGATGAGCGTTGTTGTTTAATGTACAGTTATATGACTATCAATTCCAATGGTTTAAATATTTTTATCAGCGGAGCTGCAAGGAATCGTACACAGAACAAAACAGATTGTATAAAATGCGTATGTTGCGACATCATTGGCAAACGTTACATTGTACAGAATCATATATTGCTTGCTATATTGCTAACTTTAGCTTAAGTTTTATTTAAATAATTTAATAGTCATTATTTATAATATGACAATTACGTTATATGGGTGTGATTGTATGCTTGCCACTTTACCAGCTTCGTAGGAAATCGTGGGTTCGTTTCTCTCGTTGCCCACTCGTGTGAAAAGAGTCTGTCAACGCTTTGCCGAAAGTAGTGCGCATGGGTTTTATCTGGGTACTCCAGTATTTAGCCTGCTCGCAGCCTGAAATTTAAATTTCAGGCTGTGAGCAGGCTACCCGGTATCTTCCCACAGGGAAAGTTGACAGGGTGAGTTAGGATAAACATAGTAGACATGGTTAAGGAAGTAATATCACAATTGTTGTATATAAATAGTCTAGGCTAAGTATATAATTAGGTAAGCGCGTAATACTTGATGTAAAGCGCATTTGATAATATAAAATTTGCGCTGTAGAAATCTTAGTCATATTTTTCATCCCTGTAATGTTGTTTTAAATATCTGCGATAGTTATACTCCTTATTCATCATATATTAAAACAAATATTTTACTACACTCTAATTTAAGTTCGACAGCAAAATGTTATGAGTATAATGGTACTAAAGGCATGGCAAAATTCCAGGGCGTGCGATATTAAAGAAAACTAGGCCGCCGGCAAGAAATTTATCCTAGGAGTTTGCCAGTCGGATTGGGGAGGTGCGAAATTACGGATGGGCGAATTTTTGGAATTTACAGAACTGTAAAGTCGAGAGGAACTAATAATTGATATAACTGGAAATTGTTTATTGTGGAGTGGAATTGATTAGTGCTGCCTTGCCCCAGGGCCACCAGGCATGCAAAAACGTTTGCCTCTAATAATGTTAAATTACTAACCTGGCTAAATAAACCTTTTAGATTCCTAATTTTACCAAAGTGAAGCAACATGTGTGGCATTTGGGCAATATTTGGAACCTCCGAAGATATCACGGATTATTTTAACTGCGCCTTAAAAATTGCTCATCGTGGTCCTGATTGTTTTCGTCTAGAAAGCATACCAAGTTTTGGTAACTCATGTTTGGCCTTTCATCGCCTTGCAATTGTCGACAGCGTCTACGGAATGCAACCGATGCGAGTGTTTTCCCTTCCCCACCTCTATGTCATCTACAATGGTGAGATTTATAACCACAAAGCATTGGGAAAGCAGTATGGTTTTAACTACCACACCAAGTGCGACGGAGAAGTAATTTTGCATTTGTATAACCAATTTGGGGGTGAGAAGACGGCGCAAATGATGGACGGTGTCTTTGCGTTTGTTGTTGTAGATACAGCAAAGAAGGAAATCCATCTTGGCCGCGATACTTTTGGCGTTCGACCGATGTTTATGCTAAAGACGGGAGATCAATGTTTAGCAATCTGCTCTGAAGTCAAGGGTTTGTTGAAGTTGCAGAAAGATTTGGATGGTATAAAATCTGTCATCGAACCCTTTCGTCCCGGCCATCATGCAAGTTTATCTTTCAACGATAATGGAGTGGCAACGATAAAGAAGATGGGGCCTTACACAAGCTTGACCAAGATACCAGAATTTGATTTTTCAGTGAAAGTAAAAAGTGACATTAAAGAGAACATTAGAGCACTGTTTACTGAAGCCGTTCGTAAACGTCTCATGTCTGATCGACGCATAGGTTGTCTTTTATCTGGAGGTCTAGATTCCAGTCTTGTTGCTGCTGTTTTAGTTAAACTTGCACGTGAATCTGGTATATCTTATCCCATCCAAACATTCTCTGTCGGAATGACTGGAAGCACTGATCTTGCCGCCGCCAGAAAGGTTGCTGACTTTCTGAGTACAGAACATCACGAGTTGGTTTTCACTCCAGAAGAAGGTTTGGCTGCTATCCCTGACGTCATAGAGTATTTAGAAAGTTATGATATCACCACTGTAAGGGCTTCAGTTGGAATGTATTTAATCAGTAAATACATTCGTGAGAAGACAGATACTGTGGTAATATTCTCTGGTGAAGGTTCTGATGAATTAGCGCAGGGTTATATCTATTTTCACAAAGCTCCCTCTGCTGAAGAAGCTGATGTTGAATCGAAACGTCTCCTAGAAGACCTTTACCTCTACGATGTCCTTCGCGGTGATCGTTCTACTGCTGCCCATGGCTTGGAAATCCGTGTTCCATTCCTCGATGTTGCTTTCACATCCTATTTTCTCTCCTTAACACCCTCTATACGTCAACCTCATGAAAAGGTTGAAAAATACCTTCTGCGTTCTGCATTTGACGAGGAAGGTTTACTTCCAAACGAAATCCTTTGGCGGCCTAAAGAAGCTTTCAGTGATGGCGTATCATCCACCAAAGCTGGCGAGTCTTGGTACGAGATTATCCAGAAGCATTGTAAGAGGATCGTGAGTGATATTAAGTTGGAGACGGCGGCAGAGCGGTATCCATTCAGCACTCCCAAGACCAAGGAAGCGTATTACTACCGCAAAATCTTCGAGAATAAATATCCTGGGCAAAGTCATTTAATTCCTTATATGTGGTTGCCCAAGTGGTCTGAAAGCCAAGATCCGTCTGCACGTACCCTGGCTCATTACACTCAGGAATGAAGTGAGACTAGAACATGAAACATTATATTAGCTATTACGGCGCATTAATTTAACAGTCGTCCACTGTCTTAAATGGCTGCTGATTTAAACTTCTTTATTTGTATACCTCGTTCTAGAGTTAAAATTCGTTTTAAATGTTAATATGATAACCAGATCGAAACGAACATTGGGTCAAATTGCACTCTATTATGCATGTATAATAATTTTTAATTTAAGGGGCTGTTTGTGTGTGGCGAGCTGGCTCAGGTGCTTTGTTTTGACCGTCTGAATAGTCTCGTGTAAGCTCAACTGAAGTTCATCTCGGGAAAGCGAGCTAGCTCGGTCTAAAAACAGCCCTATTGAAAGTGGTTTCTACCATTACTGGCATTAGGATGAAGATATGTTGTACTATTTTTCTTGAATAAAACACATGGTTGTTTTGACTGCCGCAAACGATTTTTAGCTTTAATTAAGGTGGTTGAATCCCTTTAAACCATTTTTTATTATTTTTAAGGATAATAAAGTGAAAATATCATTTTCTGATAAGGTCAAGTAAAACGAACTATGAAAAAAAAATTAACAAAGTCGCTAATTACACTAATTATCCAATATGGCGGCTCTTAATTAGGCCATAATTGCCTAGCGTCGCAAACATCATATCTCATTAACCAATTACCCAAATTTAATGAATGATATATTTTTTAAAAGCTTAGGACCTCATCAATTATGTGGTACTCTTCATTTTTTTCCAGAATTCCATTAATAAAAAATTTTAGAGCCAAAAATGGAATTATGCATTATTGGTACTTTTAACTGAAATATTTATGATGTAATTTGTTAATAATTCATCAATAATGAATAATGTTGAAATGTGAAGAGTGTCACATAAAGGACAATGGTACAGATACAAACCTAGAAAATTACATGGTTCCAAGTATTGCAGACTACTGTCAAATTACAAATCTGAGAAAATCCTGTGTGAAAGTTTTAGTTTGGTAAATGTACCTCAAAGAAGGCTTCAGTAGACTTCAGAAGGCCCCTGCTTCATACATTACTCCTTCTTTCTCTTCTGCCTCATCTATATATTTTTTCCTAAGATGTCTTAATGTTTTTCTTCTGTTTTTTGTTGGGTCTTTGTTGCCGACAGTTGTATTCGTTGTCGATCACAGTGTTGGGCACCTTCAAAGGTAAATACTCCTGGTTTAATATCCAGGTCCTCAAAGATCTTCAAAAAAGAAATGTCCCCAACATTAAACTTCAACACTGCCAAATATGTTGCAAGTGCAACAGTGGGCTGTTCGACATAGGTGGTCTTTGGACATCGATCCCAAATCAGCCCATTCAAACATTCGTTAACATTTTGGGTTAAACCATGTGTACATTTCTGAAGCAGATCAGAGTTGCTCAACTTTTCAAAAACTGGCACAATCTCATCAACAATGCACTGAGGTATGCCATTCTTGTGTTGATAAGACTCTTTCGCTTGTAGCCGCACCAACTGTCATCACCATCGGGACAAAGATCATGCTGTGGATTTGACTCGGTTGAAGCGACATGAAATAATGTTGCTTTAATAGCAGTGGCCATTTTGTCAACATCATCCAAGTTGCTCCTTACTGCAAGACCATAATAATTTTGCAAAATGTCAATTTTCCCATCAGTCTTCCTAAAAGTTACCTCCAAATCCTTTGCCGTCACTCAATTTCACACCTTTTCTTGTGTTCTTTAACTTCCGCAGCCGACTCCCCACTCTCTTCTGCACATGACCAATACATTCGAGTTTATTTGGAATGCAATCATCTCCATAAGGTTTGCTCTCTGTAATAGCACTATATGTGGATGAGTCACCATCACCAAGCATGTCCTTGTAGCGTAGACCCCTTGTTAAATAGGACCTCTCAAATATCCGCAGAGCTCCAGCTGTTTCCATACTGTTGGCACTACCAGTGTGGTTGATTTTGCAAATATGGTTGGCTTTCCAGTCTTGATATTTGGGATCATTTGCCTTCTTTTGCCACTTTTGACACCCTTGACATTTGTCTGATAAAACTTCCACGTCCAGACATTGTTTTGTGTCCAATGAGATGGCGTTTACGACACCATTATGTGAAACATGACCTCGCCTTTGCCAAGTTCCATCGAGGGAAATTACACATTCCCCTGCCTCATTATTGCAAGCCTCTTTAACAGCCATAGCATTGTTTACCATACTGTCCGTTGCCAACTGTTTAACAACAGGCAACAGCTTTTTATTTTGTACCTTTGTAAAGTTCCGGCTTGTTGGTGGTGGTGGCATGTTCATTACTTTGGCAAATGTTACCATAGCTTTATGTCCTCGACCAATTTCTCTAAATGCCAAGACAGCCCTCACATTAATTTCATATGAATGTCCCTGTTTCTTTGATGTATGAAAACAGTACTTCCATTCACATTCGACACTGTTGCATTCAAGTACCATGTAGTGCGAAAAGCCATTTTTCTTTTTCATATCAACATGGCAGGTTGTGTTCCTGATTGGATTCCGATACCCATCAGCTCAAGATCTTTGGCGGAAAGCATAGCCACTTGGCGTGACACAAAGGAGTTTTTGGCGTAAAATAATTAAAATGCAGCAGATTGGCGGGCTGGCGGACTGTGTGTGTTTAAGAAATTTTGTGCTTTTGGCGGGTTTTCTAAAGTTGTAATTCTCTTGGCGTAAATCTTTGGCGGGCGAAAATGGAGAAATCCAATCAGGGTTGTGTTGTCACCACATTCAGGGCATCTCATAATTTCATCGAAGACATTGAAAAGGACTCCCAAATCCATAAACACTGTACCTTCTTTAAGTGAATCTGTGAGACCAGGATTTTCGCGAAACTTCTGACTGTTATCGCCTATTTTCATCTCAGATGGCCCAGGTTTTTCGCTGTTACATGGTCCGCCATGTTTGAATTTTTTGGCTTTCTTGCACGGTGGGATTCGTGCCTTTTTTCTCTCCCTATTTTGCTCATTTCCCATATTTTATCGAAAATAACAAGCAATTTAACAGAATATAACAATATACAACGAAGAAGACTAAATTTGAGCCAAATATCCGGTAAAATTTCGAAACTCTGAAGCGATGTTTACAGCTAGTGTGTTGAGGTTTGTGAAAATTGCTATGAAACAGTGCTTCCATGTGTGTGTAGAATGAACCAATCAAATTGCAGCATGATCATAAGGGCTTAAACAACATACATCAAAAGTAGAAACTACAAATGACTCGTTAATATTGAATAATTCATGGTTTTTTATAAAAAGGCGTTGCTATGGTGTTGCTAAGGGGAAAATATTGGACCATCTCTATTCTAAGACCGGTTTGGGGGGTTTAAAACGTACAAAATACACAAAAACAAATTCTAAATCTACAATGTTTATAATACCCAAAACACACAAAAAAAATTTTTTAAAAAATTGACCAAATGAAGGGATGCGACCACCAGCTTTAAAAAGCTTCTTGAATGTCCCTTTGAGCCATAATCCCATATTCATTATTCTGAATTTTTAAAACTCGCATATTCTGATTTGTCTCCTTAAGCTTTTGTTGATCCACTTCATATGGAGTCTGTTATTAACCAAAATTAAGCTACTCTCCTGATCTCATCATCTTTACAATTAGCCCCAGAGGTTCGGCGAGATATCCACGCTAAATGAGCCTGGGACTTATTGTGACCTTCTTGGAAAGCTGGTTCTGGGATTCAGCTCGGAAGTACAAGATATGCAAAATAATGTATTGTGCAACATAGGAGTAACAACTGTGCTGAGATGTGAAATTTTACCTTTCTCGGAGATTTTGCCTAACAATGCGGAATATAAAGAAAGGTAAAGTACTAGCTATATCTTTTTCTTATGATATTTCAATTCAAATCTTAACTCGTAGATGGTGTGCAAATGAAAGTACGACACAGAAATTCTTGGCATATTTTACTTAAATGTTTGAACTGTTGTAGTTCAAGGTGTGGAATTATTCAATGTTGTCTTGAAATTCATTCATTATTTCTTAGGATCTTTCTGACATTGCCTTATGTAATGCTAATAGTGCTAGTTTTCCCGGAATTTAATAAATCAAGTCTCGAGTATATTAAAGATTACTAAAGATGTAGTTAAATTTACGGATTCTCTCTCGCTTTATATGATTGACCTGCTGCGGTATTTTTGCGTTAAATATAATTTATCTTTGAAATTATTGAGATCAATGTCAAATCAGAACCATTAGTCACCCACGATAGTCTAATAGTCTAATCTTCTATTCATGCAGGCCAGTAATATCAGTATAGAACTAGAACCGTAGAAGTAATTTCGTTTTTGATGCGCTGGTGGTTCGTGCCTGCGGTCGACCGCTGCCGTTTGTATTCAATGACAACATAGCCTACTCGAAAAAAGTCGTTGGTGAATGCCGTGAATTTTTAAATACTTTTTTCTTTACACTATTTTATGTTTGTATGTATTTACTTCCGCCCCTTGCAGTATCCATTATCCTCGGGACTGTGTAAAACCAAGCAGAACGCCTGCTCATACTCGTGGGGGTTTCTATATAACACTTTCGATTCGCGGAATTATACGCACTAGCTGTAACGTACAGCGCGTGCACTCACAACTACACAAAATATTGTTACACGCAGCTCTGAAGAACATCAGTTACACGAGCTTTGCGTTTAGTTCTATTGAAGAGGTGTGCCATTTCGGCCGTAGACATAGCTACTTGGGTAAATCGACATCCAACAAAATAAGTCTCTTCTAAACACTTTAACATGCGCATCTCGCTATAATATAAATTTTAACTGTTTCACAAGTTTCAAATAGCTCTACAAATAATATTTAAAGGCTAGGAGTTTCGACGCTCAGGGAGAAATGCCAAATGTAATAGCACTGGTTTATATCATATAAAAGTTACTAAAACCGTCGCAACACACATATATCTTGTTGGGTTGACATCTGACCCAGCTGAGTATTACGAGTTTGGGACGTACTTTTCTGAGCCATAAAAGGTGCTCTGTCGGATTATATATGTATATGTCAAATCATGAATTAGGTACTGTTTAATAAACTCGCAGGTCGTGTTTTTTAGATCTAAAGCCACTCGCGCGCACGAGCAGGAGTGTTTTATTAGGTTTAAATATAAAGCCGCGCAGCGCGAGTGGCTTTAAGCCTGTTTTCCACTAGCGAATTTCTTCGCGCGAAGCGAATTTTCTATTGTTTAAATTAAAAAGAATTGATTAAAAATCTAATTAGTTCCAGCCGAGAGCTCATAATACAAAAGATTCGCGTGAACAAATTCGCTAGTGGAAAACAGGCTTTAGACCTAATAAAACACGACCTGCGAGTTTATTAAACTGCTTCAAACACGACTACAAATTCAATAGATATACTGCCTTATTAGTATTCTTTATATAAAAATACTAATGAGGACACGACTACAATAGATACTGCCTTATTAGTATTCAGGCTTTATATAAAGAATACTAATTAGGAGTGTTTTATCAGGTTTAAAGCCACTGCACGTGACATATTATGGTTGACATGATTTGCCAATAAGCTTATGTATTATTATCATTAATAACGTGTGACCGCTCTCAGATTTTTCGTGTTCTCATGACCTTATTTGGTAAAATCCAGATAACAGCGACCTCGTTCCCAGGCTCTTGAGTCTGGGAACGAGGTTGAGATTACAGAAGATTAAAAGGTATTTCGGGTAAAAACCATTCGGTCATATAACTGAAAATTACATACTAAGTTTCCTGTCACTCGCTGAGCGCTATAAAATTCAGAGCTATTAAGAAATTTTTATAGCAACACCAACATGCATGTTTAATTTGGAAGAGACATGTTTTGTTTTAATCTGAGCTACAGTCTACGCGCAAACCTCCTGTAGTTGACTTCATCAGGGCCGTCCCCAGAGTAATTTGGAGGGGGGAGGCACATGTCTTCGGACTGTAGCAGCTCCAATTTAATGTAAGACTGATCGAATGAAAATTATAATTTATATTACCCTGTTTATTTCTCTCACACTGGGTGGAAAGTGTTTGTTTGTATATATACCTTAATAACGAAACTCAACGTATAAATATATGTTTTCTCTATAACTCTCAAATTCGCGCACACTTCTATCGCACATGTTCAGTCCCGTCATGCAATTCGCGTTATATAATCTATCCCTTTCTACCTAAGCATGTTCATAAATATCCTACACTCCCCCCGTTGACCATGACTTACAATGGTCAACATAACAGTTTCATAACTAAAGTAATCAAATGTTAACAACGTTAATGCCTACAAACTTCCTGATTCAATGAGTTCCTGTCTCTTCGCTTGTGCCTTTCTTGCTGCCTCCCGTATTGGTCTCCTTCTCAATTCCGTCTTCTGATCGTCTTTCTCTAAAGCGTTCTCCGTGTTATCTCCTACCGTTACAATTTCTTAATCGCCTTCCGACAACTCAACCGGGTATAATTTCTGAATTGGCCGTCTAATTTCCGTACATTTTCCTCCTTTGTCTGTTAACTACCGCTCCGCGAATAGCCCCGTCCTTTCCTTCTATCAGTTTCTCGATTCTACCGAGTTTCCACTTTACTCTACGTACGTTCTCTTCGTGAATAACTACAACATCTCCAACTTTAATACAATTTCCTTTCTGTCGTGTAGTCTTCTGTCGATGAGCATTGCGTAACTCAAGCAGATACTCGTTCTTCCATCTCAGCCAAAAGTGTTCCTTTAAAGTTCTAAGGTACGATACTCGTCTTGCAACTTTGTTGTTGGTTATCTCTTCAATTCTCGATTCCTCTCCTGGCTTAACTGCGTCTGGCAACGAGTTTATTCTTGTTCCATTTATCAAATGTGAAGGTGTAATTGGTTCGTCTAGGTCTTCCGTAGACACATACGTTAGCGGTCTCGAGTTTAGTGTTGCTTCTATCTCCGTAAGCACGGTATAAAGTTCTTCGTTGGTGACTCTGGCATTTTTAAGAATCTTGTATAAACATCTCTTCACACTCTTAATTAGTCTCTCGAAGAACCCTCCCCACCATGGTGCCTTCTCAAGGTTGAATGTCCATCGAATTCTTTGATCTGAAAGGTATTTCTTCACTTCTGGAATCTCGAATAGGGCTGCTAATTGTTTTGAAGCCGCTTTAAATGTTTTTCCATTGTCTGATTTCACCTCTCGTGGTATTCCTCGGCGGGCTGTGAATCTCCTAAAACTTCTTATAAAGGCTTCTGCCGTCATATCACTCACAACATCCAAATGTACTGCTCGCGACACAGCACAAGTGTATATAACCATGTAAACCTTCTCCATAGCCACTGCCTTCACTTGTTTCACATAAAGTGGTCCAGCGAAGTCCACCCCTGTGTACGTGAAAGGGTGATCTTTCGTGATTCTAAATACTGGTAATGCTGGTGGATCTGGTGGTTTGTAAGCAATTCCTTCCTGTCGTCGACATACTGCACATTCATGTATCAGTTTTCGCACGTATTGACGACCTCTAACAATCCAAAATTTCGATCTAATCTCTGTTAAGGTTTCTTTTACACCATTGTGTTTTACTCTTTCGTGACTATCTCTCACTATTAGTGACGTTACGTAATGTTCCGCATCCAAGATTGCTGGGTGTTTCTGCGTCGTAGTTAATTCTGCATTCTTGAGTCTGCCTTCACATCTCAAAATACCTCTTTCATCACGGTACAGTCCGAATTCTCGCTCCCATTTTCTTGTCTTCGCCTTCGACATCAGTTGAAATTGAACATCTTTTAACCAAAGTTCCTCCGCTTGTAGCATGTAGTCTGTTAATGGCTTTGCTTTAACGGTCGGATCTCTCTTCGATTTCAACATCTGGATAAATTTCAACACTATCGCTGTAGTTCTCTGTAGTTTGTTTAAGCTACTAAATCTCTTACAATCGATAATTTCACCAATATGTCCTACTTCACAGGTCGTGTTAAAGGATGACGTTTCTGAAGGTTTCTTTGACTTCTCTAATTTCATTTCCTTGATCACTTCCTCTGGAGGTTCACTCTCATTCATACTTGTTTGTTCACTCGGATCGGCGTAGATCTTCAGCCATTCTGGTCCGCTAAACCACATACTGTTTGATAGTTCTACTGGGGATGTTCCTCGCGACGGAATGTCAGCCGGGTTATCCTTGCTAGCACAGTGATTCCACAGTTCTGGTGGAACAAGACTTCTTATTTCTAGGACTCTATTTTGTACAAACTGTTTCCACTCACGAGTTTCGCCACATATCCAGTAGAGCGCAACTTCCGAATCCGACCAACAACGTATGGATGAAATATCGATATATCCTTTCAATGCTTCCTTTACATGCGTTATTAATCTTGCCAATATTAGTGCTGAAAGCAGTTCAAGTCTCGGTATAGATTGCTTCGTCAAAGGTGCTACTCTAGTTTTTGAAGCTACGATGTTCAATTGGACGCCATCTCTTGTTTCTAGCCTTAAATACACAACGGCCGCATACGCCTTCACTGATGAATCACAGAATCCTTCCAAACTAGCGGTGATATCTTCAGATATAACTCCGTTGAAATAACACCGTGGTATTTTAATTGGCGTCGCTTCTCTTAATTCCTGTTGTAACAATTTCCAAGTATTGGATGACTCTTCATCTAACGGTTCATCCCATCCAATGTCTTTCTTAAATAAGCTCTGACAAAACAGTTTCAGTTTTACAGTCAGTGGCGTAATAATTCCCATAGGATCATAAATTTTCGACGTCACTCGAACAACATCTTTCTTTGTTGGGTGTTGTTTGGGCTCCTCGTCAAGAAATTGCTTGCAGTCGAAAACAAAACAATCTTCTTCTGTGCACCACTGGACTCCGAGTAGTTTCTCTGTCATCGGTTGCGAACTTTGCGGTCCGGTCATAGTTTTTGCAAACGATTCGTCTTCTTCTTTACAGGATGTGTCGTTCTCGAATTTCTTTCTCTTCTCGTCCGCAGTATTCAGATGTTTTTCATTTTCCTTTATTCTTTCCATCAGGGCTTTCGAATTGGACACAAACTTTCTGGCGTTGAATCCCCCTTCAGCTAGTCTCTTCTTCAGTTTGATGTACAATCGATAGGCTTCATCTTCTTCTTCGTCACCTGTTGCGATATCATCCACGTATAATGACTGTAACAATCTTTCTACAAACTCTGGGTCTTCCCTTTGGTATGCTGAGATATGGTACTTTAAGGTTGCATTCAACAAAAACGGACTCGAAGATAATCCGAAGGTGACTCGAGTAAATCTCAGTTCGATCACGTTTGGAGTTTCTTTCAAGGGATCATCAACCCATAAGAATCTAAGTACGTTGCGATCTTCTTCAGCCACTGAGATCATGAGGAATGCTTTTTCGATGTCTCCCGCCAGCGCAATCTTGTGTACTCGGAATCTCATCAGAATATCTGCTATTTTCTCAGTTAATGGTGGGCCGGTATACAAGCATTGATTTAAGGATGGACCACCACTCTCCTTCGACGATGCATCGTAGACCACCCTAACCTTTGTAGTCTCTCTGTCCTTGCGCACTACCGGGTGATGTGGAAGGTAATGCACTTCGCCAATTACATCACTTTCGTTGCTTGGAACCTCCTCAACAATACCTTTCTCTAACTGCTCTTTGATCACAGAGTCATATTCTCTCAGGATTCCGGGCTCTTTCTTAAGTCGGGTTAACAATGAACTTAATCTCTTCTCGCTAGTTTGATAATTATCATGCAGTATCGGGTGTGACTCTCTCCATGGTAAACTAACTTCGTACTTCTGTCCGTCAAAGGAAATTCGTTGGTTGAATGTATCATAGACTGAGCTCTCATTAGGTTTAATTCCAAGTGATTCTAGCTCCCAGAACTGTTGCAGTGTTTTGTCTAATGTCTCAACGTTACGTTTTTCTGGGTTTACTGCAACTTCACATTTCAGGACATGCGTAGTAACAACATTGGTAGATGAGTTAGACTGAACTGGCATCTCTTTTACTGGACCTGATAAGACCCATCCTAGTTTTGTATGAATAGCCGCTGGTCCAGATTCACCTCTGGCAACTCCCCCCGTCACTAGGTTCCAATATTGGTCGGCTCCCACTAGGACATCAATCGGGGCGTGTCCCTCGCAATCATCAGCCAACTGTAAATTTGACAGATGTGGGTAACTCTTCACTGCATGCTTCAAATATTGCCCTTGCACTGGGGCACTAATTAATGGTACACTGATAGCCGATAATTTCACATCGTCATCTCCGTCCACACTAACACATAAGTCCACTATGTCACATACCTGAGTGGTTCCACCACTTGATCCAAATGGCTTGATTGTCAACGATTCTGAATGTGAGGTTACTAAATTCATTTCATTTCTAACTCTTTCTGTGACATAGGTTCGCTGACTCCCTCCATCAAGGATGATTCTAGCCTTTTGTTTACGATGTGGTTTATCTGGTCGATAAATTGTCGCTTTAGCTGTCTGGAGTAAAACTGCGTTCTTCGTGTTGACACACATTGTTGAGGACCCTTCAGGTACTGTGTTGTCTTTGTTCCTTTGGTCTTGCTTTGTGCTGTTCTCTGCTTTATTCTGTTTCCCGTGTTCTACAGTTTGTGACTCAACACTCCTCATTTCTTGTCTGCGAGTTTCTTTGCCTTGAGAACAAATGCTGGTATGATGTCGTCCCTGACACTTGCCACACCGTGTTCTTGATTGACAGGTTTTGCTTATATGGTTCTTCATGGTACAAACATAACAACGGCCACTACGTTTAAGGATCTCCTTCCGTTTCGTAACATTCGTGACTACTGTACAGTTAATCGATAAATGTGGTTGAGCACAGTAAATGCAGGTATGTTCTCTATTTCCTCCAACCACAAACGCTGATGTTGTTGTAGGATCTTTTGGGCCAAAATGTTTACCACGATTAAATCTTTTATGTTCCTCCTGAGGGTTCTTAGTTGCTGCTACTATTTCACATCGTTCTCTGTTTGCTAGTTCCTCATTAAGTTGTTTTAAAACTGATTTAAAGTTCCATGACTTTTCCGATACTTTACTGCATATATCCAATCTAATTTCCTTTGGAGTTTTGTTTAACAACAATGGTAGAAATAGTTCGCCGTATTGTTCTGGTTTGCACCCCAGGGACTCCAGTGCCCTCATATGGGCTTCAATGTCATCGCTCAATTGTCTCATAGCCTTAAGATCTTTCCCATTTAAAACTGCTGGTAAGTTTATCAATAAATCCATGTGAGTACTAATAATTTTCTGAGAATCTCCGTATCTTTCCTTTAATAATTTAACTGCACCAGAATAATTTGATCCTGTCAGGGGAAACCCCTTAATGACGGATGCCGCTGACCCACTTAACGACGCTCTCAAATACGAAAACTTGTCGATTTCACTCAAATCTTCATTCGAGTCAATAACCGACTCAAAATTGTCCCAAAAGGATTGCCATTCAGTGTAATTTCCATTAAATGTAGATAATTGTAGCTTAGGAAGTCTAGCTCTTACCTTGCTACCGATTGAAATGCTGGATGTGTTGTGATTTCCCTCTTCTAGAGGCGGTGAACTTTCAGGTTGACTTGCGTTCTCGACATTTTTGCCTTCGTTTTCCTTTGATATTTTCGCTTCCTCGAGAGCTATTAAAGTCAGATTTATCGTGTCCGTAAACTCCGACGTCTCTTCGATTTCGGCTTCGATCTCCTCGTCTTTAATTCCCGTTAAAATGGACTTGTCAAGGTCGTTAATCACGTCTCTCTTTCGCTCTAGCGTAGACTTGTAATGCTTATATTTTTGCCGATGTTCAGGTTTTCGTTCGTCAAATATCGTCAATAATTCGTTGGTTTCACTTATTATTCGCCGTACATGTGTTTTGTGGGCTGTTCTTGATCTCTTGTCTCTCTCCAAGTTTTCTGCCATTGTAAATACTTGAAATTCACCAAAATATCATATACTTAACTGTATTCGGTTGCCAGAACAAACACTGGACTTCTCGCTGTGAATTTCAACTCTGTTTTCGCTCGTAATGTTATTAAAGTTTCGACTTTCCAATCCGTCTCGAAAGGACCATTTAATCTATTTATTTCTCAACTCACGCTGGGTGGAAAGTGTTTGTATAGATAACTTTAATAACTAAAACTCAACGTATAAAATATATGTTTCTCAATAACTCTCAATTCGCGCACACACTTCTCTCGCACATGTTCTGTCCCGTCATGCAATTCGCGTTAAAATATATCCCCTTTTATCTAAGCATGTTCATAAATATCCTACACATACGAATCGGCAAATATCCATACAAGAGAATAAGCAAAAGGTTCCTTAAACGCTACAGGTTGTTTCAAAAATAACTATCGAGTTTCTCCACAGCTGTTTTATAATCTGTACCAGTATCGGTTAACGTGTTGAAAATCTTATGAACTGCGGGACCAGCAACGTAGAGTAGGAGAGCACGCTTTTGTTTGGCATCCGTTATATTTGCTGCAAGCAAGTACATGTCAAATCTTTCACGCCAGTCTTTCCATCGTTGAGCTAAGGACGACTTGTCACTTTCGGCATCAAAAGCAGGCGGTGGTGCTAAATGCGTAAGTTTCGTTGCCATATTTCTTGAAAATAATCCTCGTCGCCAAATATAATAAAGTCGGTTTGTAATAAAATAATATATTTAAATGATTAATGTGAATGTCCTAGATCCGTCCTCGCTTTCCTTGCTCGATACCACAGTACATGTGTTCACTGTCCCGTGACTAGATCATGTGACCTATACGTCACAATACTATAGTTGCCATGTCCTTCCTGACCTTTGCCAAGCAACGGCAAATCAGAGAGAAGGGTGGAAAGCAATACCCCTTCAGATCCGACCAAGGGATCTGAAAAGCATCTGTTGCTGTGGCAAATGGGTCTGAGAACCAGCTCACAAAACTCTTCAGTTGGGTGTTGAGTCGGTTGGCAAACAGATCTATTTCTAAGGGTCCCCACTGGGTGTTCAGTGTTTGGAACACATGGGGATTCAATTTCCAGTCGCTCGAATCCTGATAATGTCGAGATTCCCAATCGGCTTCGTGATTGGATTCCCCCGGTAAATACTCTGCTGTTAGGGAAATTTGATTTTGTAGGGCATAATCCCACAATTCTTGGGCAATGCGCAGTAGGATTGGAGACCGTGTACCCCCCATTTTGAGTATATAGGTAATAGCTGTTTTGTTGTCCATTCTTAAATGAACATGTAACTGGGTTTTCTTTGCAGTGAAGGCCCTCACTGCAAAAAAGGGCATTTAGTTCTAGGGCATTGATATGAAGGGAGGTGGCCTCCTGAGGAGTCCACAATCCCCTTGTATGAACCCCTTGACAAACTGCGCCCCAGCCCCTCATTGATGCATCTGTTGTTATCACCAGATCTGGGGCAGGAGCAATTATTGCTCGACCATTCCAGATGGAGATCTGATCGATCCACCATTGAAGGTCGTTGCGACAGTTCTGATCGAGTGAGACCATCGTCTCGTAGGATTTTCCCGTCAACAGACTTTGATTTGTAACCGTTGCAGGTGTCGATAGTGCAAGGGTGCTGGGAAAACTGCCTGCATGGAGGATGTCAGCATCCCTATCACCTTTGCTATTGTTCTGACCGAGGACACCTGTTGTTGAATCAGATCTCGGCAAGATTGCACAAGATGATTCATTTTGGTTTCTGGTAATGACAGCTTCATCTCTAGAGAATTTATCACAAATCCTAGATACTCCATGGTATGGGAGGGTTGTAGCACCAACTTTTCCCAGTTGATCACAAAACCCAAGTTCTGCAGAAGCCACAGGACTGAGTCCCTGTCCCTTAATATGCCGTCCTGAGTTTGGTTCAAAACAATTATGTCGTCTAGATAAATTATCATCCTCAAACCCAGGCGACGCAAAAGCGACACTACTGGCTTCAACAGCTTTGTGAACAATAGAGGAGCTGGTGCTAACCCAAAGGGAAGGCAAGTGAATTGATACAGTTCTTCCCCCCAGGTGAACATTAGGAAACGTCGATGTTGTTTGCTCATGGGTACTGAAAAATAAGCATCCTTGAGATCGATTTTGATCATGTAATCCTTGTTCTGAACAAGTTGTTTGAGGAGGTGCAGACCCTCCATTTTGAAGTGCTGGTATGCGATGTGTGAATTCAACTCTTTCAAATTGATCACAGGCCTGCTCCCCCCATCCTTCTTCGGCACTAAAAATACTGGACTGAGAAAGTCCTCTTTGCGTGGAGAGACCACCTGAATCGCTCCCTTCTGCAGCATGCCCACAACTTCCTGCGTGATTTTTTCCTTTTCTAACTGGGTATGAGTGTGGGGAACTGGAGGTCTGTTTTGAACAGGGGATTGCAGAAATGGTATTTTGACCCCCGAGACTATCTGCAGAATAAACTGATCCCCAGTTAGACATTCCCAATTTTTCTGGAAATACTGGAGTCTCCCTGCAAGGGGTAGAGGCAAGTGTGAAATTGATGTATCTAGCCCTAGATTTTTCAAGGCAGGATGGATGTTCAGCTGAACAGTCTGTTGTGGAATGCCCAGAACCTGATCTGAGAGGCGATAGGTGTGATTCGGGTGATCTCCGCTTGACCTCAAATGTAATGAGCAAGGACTTGCCTTTAAAAGGGTATCCTTTGTCTCCTCTGTAACCACTGCCTCTGTAGCCACTTCCTCTGCCCCGGAACTGAGTAGGTCGGCCCCCACCTCGGCTCTGAAATGAGGGCCCTTGGCGAAAGGGTTGGTATTTCATGACAACATTTCTATTGGCACCATTCTTTTGAATTTTCTGGTGAGGGGGGCCAGTAATATGGTGAGAAATCTCTTTTGAAGACTTTCTCAATTGTGTGGCCTTGTGGAGAGCCTTGTAGAACTTTTTGCCAAACAAGGTTTTATGAGGCTTTACTAATGACGTCTGATGCTTCTTAAGCAAGCTTTTAGCCTTTTTCATTTCCCCTGTTAGGCGAGAAAGAACTCCCAATCGTCGTGTATATAACAAATTTACATTGGCTTGTCCAAGCAATGTAATAGACTGCTCAACCAGTTTTACGCATGCATACAGGTCAAGTTGTGTATCGGATTTACGAGTTCTGACCTCCTCCAGTGCAAGCCACAGCTTGCCGAGGGGTCCCATAACATTAGAAACCCGAGATTGCACTTTCACAAGGCTATTATCCGACTCTTTGCCGTAAGATTTGCCCATAGTTTCAAATATTTCCCCAAGATAATCATCAATCTTTGGGGTTTGAAGGCATTGAATATTCGGCACAGGGTTTGCATCAAGTACTGTTTCCTGAATATCCTTGTCTGGAACATAGGATGTAAATTTATTTGCTAAGTACTTCACCATGTCTTTTGGTAAAACCAATTTTTCACAAGTTGTGTTATCCGTGTCAAAGCGCACGTAAACATCAACGTCAGACCCGGGGTCCGGTGAAGTGTCCCTTCGCGTTGCTTGTGTCTTTGGCGTTGCCTTTCGCTCTGGTGAAGATTTACGCTTCTTGGGACGTTTATAGTCACCATCTTTGCTGCTAGCAGATTCGTCTGAGTCGCTGTTATCGCTAGAACTCGATGACGAAGAGCTACTAGAGCTTTTAGAACTACTAGAGGTCTCAGAATGCCTCCGTTTTGTAGCACGTTGTTTACCTTTCAACCCAGTGGGCGAAGGTGTCAACTCGTTGTCTTCAACCGTCGCTACGGCGTCTACAACGTTCAAGGACAACGCAGGGGAAACTTCCCCGTCCTCTGCCATCGTTTCTGTAACTTTTAAGTCAGGATGGCTCTGCTTTGTTAAGGATTGCAATTGAAAAACACTCTGAAACGAGAGACGTGCCGCGAGCTAACGAGAAGCCATTTTGGAGAAGGAAGGGGAAGCATGGGAACGAGTCTTTTGGGGGTCTCGTTATGATTTTGAAGGGCTTGAATTAACCGGAAGCCGGGGAGAATACGCTATTATATCTTATGGAGGTTTGTGAAATGAAATCGTATGCGACTAGTTTATCATGTAGATCGGCCTTAATTTGTCCAATAAAACTCCTGACACAGGGTCTTCCGCCCTTGGTCGAAGATTATAATCCTCTGCTTATATTTACCAGACTTACGAGTACCATCAACATAATTGTTTCCATTAGATCAAAACACCGGCATTAAGATACTGGTGCAAAACGATGGATAAATTCTGGACCGCTTTATTACAAAGGTTCAACAGCGTAATTCCCAATTGGAAACCGGAGATCTTATGAATGGTGCAGTACTCTTGTATTTGTCATGCAGGCTGACATTATTATTATTAATACAATGTTATCATACAGTCATTTGCGAGTAAGATTATAGATCAGGATTACAAGAGTACATGGATATCAGTACGCATTAAGGGAAGCACACAGTAGTCAAATGGCAACTTTCATTTATAATTTCAGGACTCCGTTTAGTTTTTTAACACAGCATTTTTTTCCTATGTAGGTTATTAATGTACTGTTTAATAAACGAGCAGGAGTGTTTTATTAGGTTTAAAGCCACGAGCGCGCAGCGCGAGTGCCTTACGACCTAATAAAACACGACCTAATAAAACACGACCTGCGAGCTTCAAACACGACTACAAATTCAATAGATATACTGCCTTATTAGTATTCTTTATATAAAAAATACTAATGAGGACACGACTACAATAGATACTGCCTTATTAGTATTCTTTATATAAAGAATACTAATTAGGAGTGTTTTATCAGGTTTAAAGCTACTGCACGTGACATATTATGGTTGACATGATTTGCCAATAAGCTTATGAATTATTAATGAGTGTTTGAAGTACATTATTAAGACTACCTGAATCAAGGATTGTGACATTTTTTTCAGAAGATGACCTGCATTGAAGGTGGTCTTTATACTGTCTCCCAGTAATCGCAAATATCCCACAATGATACGCAGCACCCTTAACTTCGTTTCTTCGTCTGTACCTCGTATTTGCCGAGGAAGAGAACTGAAGTGTGAGTAAAGATTCTCTTCGATGATTTCAATAATCGACGTCTGCTCTACAAACGAAGACAATAGAAATGACTGTATTAATCTGCCATTGATTACAGAGTTCCAATTCACCATTTCGTAAAGCCAAACGATCCAGTTCTCATGGGTTAGTCAGAGCGTGAATTTGCATGTGCACCGTGTATGACAATAACAAAAGCACAAGAGAAAATCCAAGGAAAATAGTGAAAATCAGTGTTGGTCAATCACGTGTGTCAAATAAAACAAGCGATTGCGTGGCTCGACCTCGATGACATTCCAGAAGACAATCGTTATGGCCAGAGGCGTCGCGTAGAAGCGTGGCAAGATAATATATGTATTCACTTAAAAATACATGAAACGCTTAAAAACGCGCATAAATTCGTCTGACTTTGCTATCAAGCGATTTATTGTGTAGCTCATTGTGTATTTGCATGGTTACGTCATTGTATTGTCATATAGTATTATAAAGGCCGACAACTTTTTGACAAAATACATTTACACACTGAATACAGTGTAATAAATTACACAATAAATCGTTTGATAGCAAAGTCAGACGAACTTTACGCATTTTTAAGAATTTATGCATTTTTAAGTGAATACGTATATTCGCTGGGCTGCCTATGGAGTATGGTGAATCAGGATGACGGTGGATATCACCTCGGATTCCAGAGGAATATCTCCACTTGTTGGCCGATTACGTCATCCCACGAGGATATAAAAGGCTACGACGTTGCAATTACGTACACTCGGACTAGAGTGTGGAAACATTGCCATTGGGTCGTTAATAGGCTATAATTCGACCAGAATCGCATTACAAGCGAGCGAAAACATGTCTGAAGTGTTAGAATAATTCTTTAATAAGAAAAGGTTTAAATTTAAAACCTGTACCGCTAAATACAGTACCTACCATTATTAGACATAAGTTCATTCAGTTCGGAAATAATTGTTTTGCTCTTTTGTGACACCTCAACATACTCATCAGATGACATTCCAATCACAATCTCAATCAAACATGGTACGCATGTTTCCAAAGACATTGAACAATTTTTTAAAAGTATGTCAGCAAATTCAAGCAATGCCAAGCGAACTTTCCAACTGGAATGGCCGGCCACATTAGATATCCGCTCAATTAAGATTTTTAACTTTGCAGCTGTATTGGAATACCATTCCTTGTCCTTCTTAACTTCTAAGCTTTTCTCTTCCTTTGGTTCTTGGTTTTGGCTTAAAGTGTGATGTTCTATTGGTGGCATGAGTTTTGACATGATTTTGGTAAGTTCACTGACTGAATCAGTCAATTTGGCACCTGGGAAGAACTTGTTATTCATGACAACCTGTATGTGAGCAGCCCATGCATCAAGAGCTGCAACTATGATAGTTTGTCCTTGGTTAATGCCACTGGTGATTACTTTACTTAAAGAAATTGAAATGCCAGGTAAAAAGGATGCTAGTTTTGTTGACAATAGTTTTTCTTGTGCTTTATACACATCACCATCCTCGCCTGTATTTGAAATAAATACAAACTTTTTAATGCTTTTTACAGCCTTGATTGCCAAATGCTTTGCTTTTTCATTTACAGCAATGTTTAGCAAAAGCGAGATACAGTGACCAAGTGAAGGAATGAAGTCATCAGTGTAAATACACTCCAATACTTCACGAGATGATGAATCCAATAAACCAAGAATACAATCCAGAAGAACTTCTTTTGAATCTTCGGAAATATCAGCTGATACCTTTAAAATAAAATAAATATTAACAAAAGAAACATCAATCATCGTTAAGTTTATTAAGCAGTGAATTGCAAGGGTGGATCTAGGTGTTACCGCACGACCCACAGTGCACAGCTAAAGCCTGCTTTCCAGTTAAGTGTTTTCCATACGTGCGTACGCAAACGGAAAAGTTTAAATCCATTTCAAACAGTCATTAATAATTCATAAGCTTATTGGCAAATCATGTGATGTCAACCATAATATGTCACGTGAAGAGGCTTTAAGCCTTTATACCTGATAAGGCTCATCTTCATTATTATTCTTTATATAAAAGTCGATCCTAATTAGTATTCTTCATATAAACAATACTAATGAGATGGCATCTATGGAAAACACCCCTAGGAGTGTTTTATCATATATAAAACGCTCGTGCTGCGCACTCGCATTCTAAATACTAGGGTACCTGCAAGGTAGGGATTGCTGCGGGCATTAAAAGCAAATAGCACTACAGTAAAAAGCACAAATTATATGAATGGAACTCAGAAGAAGCAATATATATTGAACAAGACGCCTGCTCTCAGGCGTTCACACTGGCCTGAAAATAACGAGATACGTGCTATGGTGCAAAAGGCAGGAATACTTAAAGGCAGAAATCTTAAACCGCAAGCAAATTTTATGGACTTTTTAAAAAAATAAAAGACCTTTTCGGGCGACATAATGGAGATCGATGCACGTGCAAATCATGCCGACCTACAGAATCGATTTCCGGTTTTTCCTAACAGCGCGTTGTTTTCATGTGCGTTCCATGGGCCGCGCTAAAAATATAAATATTCTGTAAAAACCGAAATAAAAGATGAAAATCTTAAGACACAAGCTTGAAAATAACACTATAAATAGTGTTTTCGATTCTGGTTCCAATAACATTATCACGAAAAAGATATGTCCAAAGGGGCCGAAGTTATGTTCGACAAAATGTATGGCTAGTTTACATTGTTTGTTGTATTATGTAATATGATACCATACTTGTATTAAAATTCGCGTCGAACTAATGTTATTGTAAATGAGTAGACTTGCCAACAAGTCGATCTCGAACGAAATGCGTTTCTTCGAGGTCGACTTGTGGCAAGTCTAGCAAATGAGAACCATACAAATGATACAATAATGGTTCTAGTTCTTGTTGGTATTTTGAACGCACGCTTTATCTTTAGTATAGCTACCACAAAGCTTTTCGCGCGGATTATATTTCATGGAGTACTAAATATTATATTTTGTGGTTTTCGAGTCATTACACAAAGAAAAACACATTAATTCAACACGCAAGAAAGTCCAGAGTACGACGCAACGTAAAATACATAGGAAATCGGAACAATTCTTTGAAAATTCGACGAAACTGTGTAAAATATAGTTTGATCACTCTGTGAAAAGCCGCCATTGCAGTTCGGAATTGTGCGCGTGCGTACAAGTGTATAGGCTAACCGCTAATAAACGAAAAATGTACCACAAGCATGGCATGAGTCAGCTATTACGTACATATATACGAGCTTATTACTATACTATCTAAATCATGGAACCGAGGGAATCGATGCCATTTTGGCTTAATCGTTGCACCCTGAGCCTGCGATGAGCTAACGCAAACTCGATTTCTCGACTACGAAAAAAACAGAAAAAGGGGGATTTAAGACACTTCGCCTTACAGGCCAGTGTAAATAGCAAGTGTCATGCAATTGTCAAGAGTCATGCAAGCAAAGACCAGGGGTTAAAGGGCAATCAGAGGTGACATATATTAAACATGTGCGTCTCATTGACATACAGGAAATTAAGGATCAGATTTCATATCAAGTCTGTTTAATGCTAGGCGCATCTACCACATTAGAGAGTTTTAGCAAGGAGTACGAGTACGACTACGAGTACGAAATTCGTCATTTTTGCGCGAAACGCTGGTTGTGCGCTCACGCCATCTCG